GGTAGATTTTAATTTTGAAAACGGATTATGATTAATCAACAAGTTTACTAGGGAATGATCGAGACGATTTTGAATATTTTTTTTTTCAGCTGTGATAAACAAGAATAAAAATATCGAAAAAATATGATATTTTGTATTTATATTATTTATTATGGCACTAACAATAATTGGAATATTCAAAATCGCCTTAATTATCCTTAGTAAACTTGTTAATCAATCATAATCCATTTTCAAAATTAAAATCTGTCAAACGAAATTCTTCCAGTTTTGTCAAGCTTATTGATCTCAAAGTCACTTTTTCATTGACTGAAGTCATCTCCAGCCCCTTAATGTTTATTTTATGATACATAATTTAAATATATTAAAAAACATTATAACAAACATAATTATTTTAATTAATGTTTAGATTGGTCAAATCTACATTAGTTTTAACTTTTGACAAAACCGGCTGCAGCCCCCTTAAATGGGTATAGTCTCGCAGGCATTTAATTACAATGTAATAATATTACATAATAGCACGAAATGATAGATAGCTATTATAATATAGTAACCTTTAGTTCAAATGGTATGATATTCATCTATGAATTTAGAATTTTGATAGTATTATTATTATTCGGTATCTACAATCTATATTAAGTGTCCATCGGGTGTGCAGAGTAGTCTGGCAAACTATAATTCATAGGTATATTCAGGATTCTACAATCTATACATTACTACATTAATTATGATAGGTAGGTACACCTACACTGACCTTCGGGATAATTCGTATAATTACTTCAAAACAGTATATTGTATAATATTGTTTATTATTATTTATTATACTATTCATTTCTACTATTTTAATAATAATAATACAGACAATACAGTAGTAGCCAGTAGGTACATAGTACCTAAAGTATGCCAGGATTGACAGGATATGTCATCATCGGTGGAGTAATTCAATAATTTACTTTTTTATAATTTTATCTGACAAGCTTATTGGACCATATTATATGTTATGGCCATAAATATGTAAAATATGTATAATAAATTAATCAAATATCAACGGTTACATGTAAACATCGGATATTGGGCATAATATATTGTAATAACTAATAAACTAATGGATCATGTTAGATTATAATGTTATAATAACTAATAAGTACCTAGATACCTAAATAGATATTATACCTGATTGCAGCATAATATACACAAACATAATACATTAATACACAGTACACACATATTATGCACGCTTGTTATGGTGTAATACTGTATTAGTAGTGGGAACAATGACTTGTCGTTCGGGGTTTTGGTGCGGGGGTGGAAAAGTGAATCAAATAACACCTCAAGTTCTTCTTTACTTTCACTAAGTACCTATCAATTACATTAATAAATAATATGTATTCATATCCTTATACAACATAGGTATAAAATTGTATTTTTTTACAATATAGGTAGGTACCTACCTACTTACTATTAATGGCATAGGTAGGTACGTAAATAAAAACGTATATAGGTAACAAAATTGTAATGAACTCATAGATTTGTATTTGTAATGACTATCGAATTAACATATTCACTTCTATATTACTTGAGTTGTACTTGTACACTTGTGCAGTTGTGCCCTATAACTACCATACTGTCCATACTCTGCTTATTCATTATTTTACGAGGCCTCGATAATACCGTGATATTGAACAAGTCAGAGGGCCAGCACACTATTAATTATAGTTTTCTCTCTATGAACCAGGCGCTTAGGCGCAAATTGACTAAATTTTTTGGGGGGACTCAAGGCCCCCTCTCCATAGGCCAAATTGCTTAGTACCACAGAATATAAAAATTAGTACTAATTACTAGATTTTGAACTGGGGCATATAACAAATATATTTGCGCCAATGACCAGTCGCCATAATGTGTGTCTACTGTCTATGTCATAATATACTCATATACAATTTTTATTCAGCAGAACCAACCTTGTATAATGTGTTGTTAGTTTTGGTATTAGAGTGCTTGGTCCCTAATATAAAACTTCAAATTAAGAACATTTTCTGTGTTTGGATTTTTTTTGGATATTTAAATTTTAAAGCGAGATGTGAGCATTTTTAAACTATAAAATTTTACAATTCTCTAATTAATATAGAAAATTGAAAGCCATGACAGGTCTTAGGGCCCGTTTTACAATCATAGTTTAAACCTCGGTTACGCTTGAACCACTGATTTTACATGCCGAATTCGGTGGCTTAACAGGAGTTCAACTATTGTAATACGGGCCCTCATAGCCCATAGGTAGGTCGTAGGTCTATATTTTATTGTTCTAACACAACAATTTAACATGTACCTATATATTGTATATTATAATAGTAGTACTCAGGGTTGGACTAGCCCCAAAATGTGTACCGGGAAATTCTATTTTTTGGCGGCCCTGCTTCTTTTGACCAGCCACGTAGTTGAACCTAAGGGGACAAGCTCTATTATAAAAAAAAATGTTAGTTAATAGTGAATTATCTAAAAATATAATTTATAAGAAGGAAATAAATATAAGCTCCCCCCTTCAAGAAAAAAAATATATTGTGTTAGGTGTATGACTAGCCTTTGTCATGAGTTATTTTTTTTTAAATATAATATAATAAAAAAACAATTAATATAAATACATTGTCAAACAAAATATGAAAAATTTCATCAAAGCAGAATACATAAATTATTTAATAAAAATAATAATAATTCTTTGTAAAGGTAGGTAGGTAATATATATTTTTAAACAACTAACATTTTTTTGAATACTGAGCTATGTTTTATCACTTCCTCAATAATGTTTTCATATGTTAATGTTTCCAAAATATCTTTATTTAAATGCATTAACATTCATGCATCCAGATTTTCCATCGATAGACGGTTTTTAAGTAGGTTTTTAATAAAACTTAAGGTAGAAAAACTCTTTTCACAGCCTACCTGAGTGCATGATAGTGTTGAAATATACATATAGGCTAAAAATAAATTGCTATATGCTTTAACATATAATCTATATTTAAACAATACATTAAAACAGCAAAGAAAACATTTTAAACACCGTATATTTGTTTTGCATAGGTTTTGTTCAAACTCATTTTCTTGCAAACATTCTAAATCTAATTCTGGAAGTTCATTTTCCTCATCACTTCTATAACTTTCATATACTTCAGGTAAATTTAATTTAAGCTTATCCCATTTTTTGGTAAAATCTAGAAATTCTTCCCTTAAAATAGAAGTATTTTCTAATCCAAGAACTTTACTAAGTTTGAAAAGAGCAGTTGTGGGCAATGGTTTTGAAAATTGACGAGGATCTAAGCATGTAAAATCTGAACATATTTCAGCGTGTTTAGCAAAACGTTGTTCTAGTTTACAAATCACTGTATCCATCGCTGTGTTATGAACATTAAATTTAAACAAGTCAATAGCAGTTTCAGTAACAGTTACATTTTGGTTCTCACCATACAATGTTTTTTTCTAACGTATCCGCACATTTGGCAAATTATCCGGGATCAAATTATTAATTTCATCTACTAGGTAGTTTAATTTTGTTCATAATAATACAATAATTATTTCTGTCCTTTTATCAATTTAAATTGATTTAAATATTAAATTCCATAAAATAACGATTGAAATAAATTTTTTTTTATCAAATTAAGATAACCACCATCATACTCGCGGTCCAATATAATTTATTAATAGTTACGGCGGTACGCCAGTACGGCCCCTTTTTGCTGCGGCCCACCGGGAAATTTCCCGGTATCCCGGTGGGCTAGTCCAACCCTGGTAGTACTCTCGTACATGGCTCGTCAAATTGAAGAGTTGTAAGCATGGGATAAAAAATTAAAGTAACTATTACGTAATACGTATATATATATTAATATTATATAATAATAATAGGACTATAGGAGCGAATAGCATACATTTTTTGTTAAGCCAACGATAGCGATATTGCGATAATAATTATTAGTTGCATTAAAACATAATAACTAATCATATATATATATATATGGTATATTGGTATGTCAATTGGAATATAAATTATGTATCAAGTAACAACTATCAAGAGTCAAGACCATCGAACTACCGGTTTCCGGTTTCCGCCTTCCGGTCTGTACTACTTTTTTGTTGTAATTTGTAGCCACTACTAGCGAGTAGCGAGTGCTGGTGACCGGTCCGGGACGACGTGTAGCGGAGCTACGGCTCGGCAGCGGTGTAAACACGTGTCCGCCCGTACACGAGTAAAATAATATTCCCCACAGATAAACGCACTGTGCGTGCGGGCGCGCGCGTCATGTTTGTCGCACTGGCTGGCCCCTTCCCTCCACCGCGGCCGACGAAAAGTCGACTACGACGTCACCACGTTCCAGCGGCAGCCGCGCCGCGATCCATGTGACGCACTGATGCCGTGGGCCGGGTCGTGCGCGGCGCGAGGTTCGCGGTGTAACGTGCCGCTGCCGCAGTGCTGTACACACGCACGCGCGTACCCACATACGTGTTTTACTATTATTATTGTATCGTAGTTTCACGACCACGTCCGAGTCTGAGCAGGAGTACACTTTCCGTTCACAGGCACAGCCGAGAGCACGTCGGTTCATCAGTCGCCTCAGACGGCAGTCTCTTCTCGCACACACACTCGCACGAGCGCGCGACCGACGGCGGACACGTTAAAACGCATATTTCGTGCAAATCACAATAACATAATAATAATATTGTCGTTATTATTCAACTGTCGATAGTGTTTTTCATATACTCCGGCGTCCACGCGTTTCGTTTTCAACTCGGTCGTCGGTTAGGTTGCAACAGAGCGACGCGGCCGATTCCATACACACCCCCGTTGTTTCGCGCTGCCAGTCGTTGTCGTGGTCCCTCACGTTCCGCCGGTATTATTTGCCAGCCGCCGAACTTTGTGACGAATAAACACCACCAAACACATTAAACCTACCTACCTATTGTACGTCAGCAGTTCGCGCGGGACCACCGTCAACGGAATACTACGAACACACGTCGCAATGGTCCGCCTTATGATGCACCCGGAACCGTCCAACTACTCGTACGTGTTCGACTTCGAGGAGAACTTCCACTACGAATGGACGCGACAGTGGATGACCGAGAACTGGACCAACGGGTTCTATTACTGCACCATCTACGCCATGCTGGTGTTCGGGCTCCGGCGTATGATGCGCGACCGGGCCGGTTTCCGGCTCAAGGGACTGCTGGTGCTGTGGAACGTTATGCTGGCCACGTTCAGCCTGGTCGGCTTCGCCCGAACGGCGCCCGAGCTGTTCCGGGTTCTCAACAAATATGGACTGCACCACTCGGTGTGCGTCACCAGGTAAGCGAATATGGGCCCACGTGCTTTATGGGGTGTGTGTGTGTGTGTGTGTGTGTGTGTGATTGTTTTTTCTTAACCGCCGCATTGTTGTTATAGTAGTAGTAGTTTTAGTAGTAGTGTTGTATATTTCTTTTGGTAGTAAATTGTGATTAACTAATAAACACGGGTGAAACGTCTTCGCGGTGACGTGGGGTTCTTTTCGGGGTTTTCTGGCGGCGCCCCCGCTTCACTAGTCGTAGAAAATACGACTCCCGCGCGTGTGGTCGCGTTTTTCGGTTCACTGATAACACGCCGCCGGTCTCCCCCCCGGCCTAATTCAATAATAACACCCACCCATGTAATGTAATAATATTATGATAGTACAAATGGCTTAAACACTATGCTTCCCCAACCCATCGGTTGGTTTTTTCGGGCGAAAGCTTCGTCATTGCGGTTTCACTTTATCATACCGAGCTCAAGCTCCTAATCACACCGTTGTTTCACACATGGTGATCGGTAGGAATTAGTGTAGACTTATAGACTACCTATAGACTTAACTGACATTTATACCAACACAACTTGTGTTATTTATTATCATTTAAATTTTTTTGTTTATGCTTATGAGTTATGTCGAATGTTGATGTCTTAAGTAGGTATTTACTATTATGTTAGTATGAAATTTTGAAATTGTATAGGTTCTAAAGTTGACGAGTTAGGTACTGTAGATAATATTATATTATATGAAATTTATAAGACAGCTTTTTTGAGAACCTTCTTATATAGTTCACAGTAGGAGGTAGTGTTCATAATTTTAATAGGTAAATAAAGATTTTTTTATTTTTAATTGACTTGTTATGTACCTACCTATACCTATCATAATCTTTTTAAACTGCAACTAGGTAGGCACCTACTTACCGTATATACAGTTTAGTGCTTTATGTCTTTAAAGAATATAAGATACTTTTTGTGCACTTCATATCAAGTACTTATAAGTATTGTGTTTTGTATTCATCATAGCTTGTATATAGTATATCTAATCCAAACCACTGAATAAAAATATTCAAATCTATAATATATTCAATCTACATACCTATGCGCTAATTATAAATTATAATAGGTAGGTATATTTTATATTATAACCAAGTTCTGAATAATAATTTTCCAATATTATTCATTGTTCAGATTAACCTAATTAATTACCTATATTGTTTGATCATTATAAAAATAATAACCTTAGTACTCAACCATTTTTTTTTCGTTATTGTGTTACTAATTTTAAATGTACGTTAATTTATGAAGAGTAAATAATGTGGCAAATAATGATGTCAGAAAGTTGTCATTTACATTTATATTATTTTGAACATGAATGATATATAAACTTACTTCATATTGATCCTAATACCTACTTTTATGCGTTCATATTATCTCACAGGAAATTGTTTGTACCTATTCAAACTTGAATTGAATATTTAAAATATTTCTTTTATACTCATATCCTTGGAATACTGGTTAATAATTCACCTTCAAAACTGTTTTACAATTTAATAGGTACCTAGTTAGTCTACAATAAATTCTCATCAATTTTATTCTTACTCATATTAAATGTCTATCACATATTATAAATACCTATACCTATAAAGGAACACAACATATTTAAAAAAAGTATTTAATAATATGATATACAATTTTCAATTCAATTAAAATTAAAAAATTTTGTGATAGGTTATGTGTTTTTTTCATATCTAACTTGAGTGTTTAGTAAGTAAGGTACCCGAATAAAAAAATATGGTTGTAAAAAAAAATTAAAAGAAATTGAAATACCTACCTAATTTAAAAAATAGTTTGACGTCATCAACTATTCTTCTTGATAAAATAATTAGGTAATTACTGTATAATCTATATGTAATTATATTATATTATTTGCTGCTAAATTGAGGGACGAAGTGCATTCTTTTAGTTCTAATAAATTATTTGTAGGTAATAGGTATTACTGTACCTATTTGTAGTATACCAGTGTTATTAATGATCTCAAGCTAATCAGGTTGATCTTTCATCTTTAATCTTAGGAAATAAACTGGGCAATAACAAGAATAAGACATATGGATTTTCATTTATCTATTTTTGTGAGCTTAATTAATTTTTACAACACAAAATTATTTATAATGTAATAAATAAGAGTATGATTGACATGATATGGAATTCTTTAATAATTTAATTGTATGATTTTGTCAGTGATGTAAAATATTTCTGTAGGTACTAACAATTAATTTGTTTGAATAATACTTCCGACAATTTAAACAAATTATTATAATCCACCTAAATTTATATTCCTTTTATAAAATAACTTACATTACAATTAGCCATTATTTGCTTTTTCTCAATGGTTTTCCATGTATAGTAAAATTTCTTTAAATTTTGCCTACCTAGGTATGTCTATAAATCAATATACCTAATTATTATTTTAATCAATGGAAATAGTTCTTTAATAGATTAGTAATAATACCTACCTAATTAAAATTATATTTTTGATAAATAATTCTTAGGTACCTAATATCACAGAATAAAATAATATGTAGAGTAATATACTAATATGACGTGATTGCTGATTTCAATGAAATGATAAAAGTTTAAAAAATGTGTGACGTAAATTGAATAGTATTTTGATGTTGTTGATTTATCATTGATTAATGAGTTTTTGAAGTTAATTTTTGATATTTTTATGTTTATTGTGTTCCAAAAGACCAAAACTCAGTTTTCAATTTGGTTATATTGTCAAATTATTATAAAACTTATATTATTATATACCATGTTATAATTTATAATAATTATTATTTTTACCATAAATTACCTCATCGAGTAATATTATGCGTAGTATTTAGATTTTTCTTATATCATAACTTTAAAATAATATACTTTTCAGTAGAAATATTTATCTTTATTAATACAATAAAAAAAGATTACCCATTCAAGAGTCAGAAATATTGTTTTCTTTAATTTATATAAAAGCTCTCAAATCACTTTTCAATAGGTAATTTAAGAGTTTATTACAGATTTCTGTAAACTCATTTTTACCAAGTATTTCACGACAGATAATAATGTCGATGTGGCGTTCTCTACAAAAACCTAAGTTCTAGCCCCTAGATAGGTAATTAAAACAAATTTCATATTTTGGTGTCAACTAAATTCAACTTATACCTAGCTAATTTTATTTATACTGATTTCAGTACAAATGTACCTAATAAATATATTATAATATTTATCTCTTGTAATTTCACCTATCATGATGTACAATTTTATTAGTTTGAATTATAAAATAAAATAATTATTTATTATAATTATTATATTTTTTATTTATTTTCACAATAAAATATTTAGTGTGACTGCGTTGCGTATAATATGTGGGCAAAAATTGTGTGATTAGATATCAGCAATAATAATTGTGATATCGACGTCATTTACGTCATTGAAATTTTCCGTAACGTTGTTAGTAATAAGTATGATGAGTAATAAGTAATAACCAATAAGTATACTCAATACTGTATACAGGTAATAAATAAGTTACTAATATTAATTCATAATACGACGAGTATCATTTTTTTTACCTCCTGTGACTTATGCAAGTTCTATATTCAATGGATTTTATTTTCCAGTGCATCTTTGTATATTTTTGTTTTATGTTTTATCAATATCATAATTACATAGTATTGATATGATGATGTCATTGCTTAGATACTTGAATGTAACTGAATAATTAGTGATTTTAAATTTATCTGACGATATGTAATTTTTTATACTGTAGACGAACTAAGTTTTAATATTTTCAGTCTCTTTTGTATATCATATTCGCATAATCTAATAATACAATTTAAATTTGTTTTCTTATTGGCTTTTAATATCTGTTTATAACATGTAGGTATATTGATATAATATGCTGTGAAATTAGGGCAATCGTTTAAGTAACGTTTATCATACCTTGCTCTAAAATAGCCTACCGCAGGCATGATTCTATAAATACATAATTATAAGACGTGCTAAATAACGTGCGACGAGCATCGCTATTCATGTAATTCAAATACAATTGAAATTAATATACAAATGTATTTTTATTAAGATAATGAATATTACCTACTGAATTAGAAAATAACCGGAAAGTAATTAGGTAAATTGTTTTTTTTTTACTTTAAAATATTACGTTACAGATTGGTTTATCTTTACTCATAAAATATGTCAACATAGTTGTAGCACTTAAAATACCGAAATGAATACTTTCAAGAAATCAAATATGTTTTAGTCAAGCGATCATTAATTGTTTGGTTTACTTATTGTTATTTTTCTAAATATATGAACTATCGTAAATGTATTTGGTAGCTAGGTATATATAATAATAATGTACAAGTAAAAAAAATTGTATTGCAATGAAGAATTTTTTGTAATACGAAAGCAACTAATATTTTATTCTTCAGTTGTAATGTGTTATCGTTATCACGTGTCAGTCATCAATATTCAATTATTTATCATAGGTACTTTATTTTATATTGTTACTATATAGTTGAAAAATTATGCGCGTTTTCGCTTAACGTATTATAACTCAGAAGAAGTAATGTTAATGCTGTCCTACGTTATGTGGTTTCAAAATGAAAAATAAGGCTATAATTCTATTTGGTCGTAAAAGCGCGTAAAAAAAGTCAAGCTAAATTCTAATTTATAACTGTCAATATACAATATTTGTGAATAATAATGCATCTATAATTGATAATTATTACTAGGTACTTCCATTTCTATTCCACCCCAGTTCGATGTGATTAACCACAAGATTGGACAATGACTAGTTTTCTTACAGTACTTTTCGATCGAGTTTTCGATTGAATATCATAATAATAATAATAATATAATATGTTATTCTTTGATATCTACATATTAATTTTGTCATCTTTATCACCTTAACTTCTACGATTTTTTTTTGTAGGTACTTATTTACACAATATTATAGTAAAAATGTACTTCTTACCGTATACCTCAGAATCAGAGTATGCCAATTTTAGATTACCAGATTGGGCCTGATTAAAATATATTGTGACCAAGTACCTACATGATCCAACTTTTGACCATTGACCCTCGTCTACATTTCTTAATTTTGATGAACCTAACTATTTAGCATCCCAAATAAAAAAAAATTGTAAAATGTTATCATCAGGTACATTCATATCATTGACATTGCATTTTGGTATACAGATAAAAACACGACACGAAACTTAAATTAAAGAAACGTATTATTTATATTATAGTTTTTATTATTTGATATTTAATATGGATTGTAGTTACTTGATAGTAGATTGTTACTTAATGCAATAGGTAGGTAATTCGAAATAAATTATTATTTAATTATGTTTCTATGGCATTTATTTTTAACTAAACATAATTAATCATTTCGAAGAACACATTTTGATAATTTAACTTAATTAGCATATCTTTCATGTTTGAATGGTTTTTTAAATTATTTTATACTTAATAATTATGTAGGTACCTATTTCTAGTTAATTATCAATTTGTAATGGCACTGATAGATTCAAAATAAATAGTTAAAAATAGTTTTAGAAGGTTTTTAAAATGGATTATGGGTATCAGCGGCCGATTCGATTAAATTTTCAATAATTTCTAACGTATTTTAATTTTATAGTACTTATCGGGGTTAATTAGATGAGTTACGTTGTATTCGTACTTTTTCATAACAGATTACCGACTTGCCATTTTAAAATATTAGGCACATGTATTGCTTACTTAGATAGTAAAAAGCAATAATAGGAAATTGGGTTTGCATTATAATTCTCTCGATAAATTCGAATGCACATATCAGCAGATATTGTTGCTGTGAATGTTTTAATATTCCTATGGCCTTCCTGTTTCTACTAATTGTTGACAAGTAAAATGTTTGTATTTATGCTTTGCGTAGTACCTATTGAATTTTGCGGAAGAATTCCTCTCGTAATAATTGTAATTTTTTTTATGTTCTTACGTTTTACTACAACCTCATAATATACAATTTAATACATAATAAGCATACTGTGAAATAATATATACCTACAATGCGTCTTTTATTTATTTATTCCCTATGATATGTATCTCATAGTCAAATTATTTGAATTCACTTCACTATTTCAACGCAATAATTTACCAGTTGAATATTATTGAGCGGTATACCTGCGATCATTTTAAAATTCTTGTCTTTGAGTTTAAAAAATACATCAATTGAATTTCTACGAATGTGAAGAAATAACTCATTTATTTTTTACTTTGTTTTTTAATGAAACTGTTGTATGGAATCGAACGTACATTTTTTGAGACCAATGTTATAGACATAGGTATATTATAACATTTAAATTTATTTTAAATTAGTAAATATCATTCAATACAAAATAGAGAAAAAATACATAAACATTTACAAACTACAGCAAAAATAATAGTCAAAAATCTATTTTAATCATGTAGGTACTTTGTTTGTTAATATATTGTTTTGTATATACAAGTAGAATTTTGTGTTTTAATATTGTACCTATAATATATGACACCTGACATTTTCGACTCAAAGATTAAATATATCAATAATATAATCATTATCCTGGTCATCGGTTAATCATCAAAATGTTTGTTTTTACAATATTTTTTACATCATGTATTCATGTACCTATTTAGTATAGGTTTGCCATAGAAAATTGATCTTTAAATAGTATGCAGGTAATACCTAACTAATTGTACTACTAGCCTATAGTATCATTGACTTCGTACTTTAATTGAGTATAAATATGTTAATTATTCCGTAATCCGTGTGTGTATTAAAATAGATTTAATATCAATAACAGTTAGTTTAGAAAATTAAGGGTAAAAAAAATGCTCTCATTCTATCAGTTAGTCCAAACGATCAAAACATAGTAAATCGTAACACGATTATAGTGTTAAAATAATAATTAGTACCTACGTCCTACATGCAATTTAATAACCGATGCAGCCTGTTTTGTGCTACACAACGGTCTTCCTTTTCAGCTCATCGAACTCTTTCGCATATATTTATAACAAAACGACCTTTGATGCACACACATTGCCTACATGTTTTTTATTTTTTAAATCGAGTAGACAGCAATGCAATAGTTGTGAGGTCAAGACAACTACTATTCTCAAAACCTTTAAAACAAAAGTGATTTATTTCGTACAATTTAAATTTATATATATTGGCCGGTTCGCTGTACTATTTTGGTCACTCAAACTGACAACAATTTTATTTTATCGGTTGATTTCGTTTTTCTTTCAGTTTTGAAACACAAATATTAAAATTTCATATGGTTTTTTCCCTCGAGGACTACTTAACCCTTTTCTACTAACATGAAATATAAAAGTAATTATTTAATTTCTGTTCTTTGTCTAACAGTATTGTAACTAACTTACATGTACCTAAACTTAAGCGCTTTTCTCACCTTGCAAAAAAAAATATTGGGGTGATTTAAATTCCATATTATACCTAATGACATAAGAGGACGCTATACCCGCATGCGTTGTCTCCGTCTTACAAATGCACAACATAGCAAAAAACTGTTTTGCGCGGGAAAGAACCGAGAAGGCTACAATCATAACTAAGAAACGATATTTTCACCACATAAAAAGAAGAACTTTGGCTGTGCAACGTTGTTTTTATTTTTTTGATATCATTTATATGAAAAAAGTTTTTCAAGTTTGAAAAACACAAACAATAACGGTTTTTTAAACAGTAAGAACTTTTTTCATATAAGTGATATCAAAAAAATAAAAACAACGTTGCACAGCCATAGTTCTTCTTTTTATGTGGTGAAAATTTCGTTTCTTAGTTATGACTGTAGCCTTCTCGGTTCTTTCCCGCGCAAAATAGTTTTTGATATGTTGTACATTTGTAAGACGGAGACAACACATGCGGGTATAGCGTCCTCATAAGGTTCTGAGTTGTGTTTAAAGCGATCATAATGTGATAGGTACATTATATAATAATATGGTACCCCTATTACTACATTGGTTATTCATCTCTCCACCCTAATTTTAATATAGGTACTTGACTATTTAATTCAGAAAATAATATTTCTAGAGACTAACTTTTTAACTGATTATTTATTTTAATAGGTACCTATTAAAGACGTTATATAATTTTAACCATTTATTTATTTCCTGTTTCAATACAATTTTAAATATTCACACAACCTACTTTTAACGCAAAATTGTAATTACAAAATGTCTGAAAAGATAGGTAAAATATTTTTCTTTCAAAAACTGTTGACTAATTATAGTTAATTAAGTACACCACTGGGTGAAACGTGTTGTTGCTATGTCTTGTACTGTTGTTACGGGGGCATTATATATTATTGCTAATAATTTTATTACATTTTAAGTTATTTTCAATAATAAGTAAACTTAACCTAAGTAAACCTATGTCAATAACGTCGACTCTCAATTCTCAACTCTCTTTTGTTTCAAATACGCGAAATCAGTTTGTAAAAAGATCTTACATCTACTCTACATACTCTACATACTTCGCTGTCCGCATCCTCGTTTCCGATGATGCGCGACGGTTTGTCATCGAGCAATAATGGCCATAAAAATACTGGTGCGCGTTGTAATCATGCTTAATCATCGGTGTTTGGCACTGTACAAATTTCCTATCGTCCTATTTTATTGATTCATCCGAAGGTGGTGGCCGATCTCCGTACGTACACTATTTGTCTAGATTTTCTGTTCCATTTGTAGCTATCTCATAGATGACAAGGTGTCCGGGTTCTGGTCGTTCGTGTTCGTCCTGTCCAAGCTGCCCGAACTGTGCGATACCATATTCGTGGTGTTGCGCAAGAAACCGCTCATCTTCCTCCACTGGTACCATCACATGACCGTGCTGATGTACTCGTGGTTTTCGTACTCGGAGTTCACGTCGTCCGCCCGGTGGTTCGTTGTCATGAACTACTCGGTGCACTCGATGATGTACTCGTACTACGCGGCCAGCGCCTTGGGTTACCGGGTGCCCAAGCAAGTGTCCATGTTCATCACGGCCAGTCAGCTGACGCAGATGCTGGTCGGCTGTTTCATCAACTACGCCACATACAGTTACATAAGGGCCGGTGGCCAGGAATCTTGCCGGGTGTCCCAGATCAATGTCACGATGTCATCCCTTATGTACTTTAGTTACCTGTTGCTGTTCGCCCAGTTTTTTTACAACGCGTACTTCAACAAATCCAAAAAATCGTCCAAAACCAAACAACAGTGATCACGGAAGACACGTGTTATTATTATTTTTTAGTTATTATACTTACTGGTTTTTAACGAAGTGCTATATAATAATATTATTTTCGAGATCAAATTCGCTCTGCGACATATTTATGATTAGACTTATTTTTCATTTTGGTATTATTATACATTACTTAGGTATTATTAAACATAACTATCGTTTTTTATTTTAACGAAGCGTGATTGGGCGATTAATTGTATTATTTTTGAATTTAATATTTCTTTTTTCTTATTTTGTTGTTACATTTAGGAAAACGTATTATTTTTCCTTCTTAGACAATATTTGTTTTGATTTATATGCTTAAGCAAATTTTATTTGTACCTATACCAATTACTGATTTAATCTATACTTTTATTTCCTGAAAAAAATTTAGTCGCCAAATTAATGAGGTGTCGAGGTTGGTTAGGCATTGTTAATGGACATTGGGCGTACAAGTCATATAATTTAGTCTTAAAAATAATGTTGTATTTGCCATGTATTTTAATTTTTTTGTTATTGTTTAAAATTGTACTAAATTGACTGTTGTTTTTTGTATAATATATTTGTTGTAATTATTATACAATTTCTTACAGTAATGAATTGTAATTCACATGTAACATCAATTTTGGTTAATAATTAATATTATTAATTTTACAAAATTAGTAGAAAATTATAAATTATAACCATTCTATTAGGGTTGCTACTTTCTAGTAATAAAGAAGTCAGTTTGAACAGTGAACATGAGACGTTATACTCGTATAATCATATATCAACGTATATAAATTATAGGTATTGATTAAATTCGTATCTTACTAATGTATGTTTAATATAGGTATGTAATATACATATACTAAGACACTATGTATAAATAATAAATTATATTGTCATAGGTGTACGTTATTTGGATCGTTTTAGATGGTAAATTACTAATTACTGCTGTTCATTTTACCTATCTAATTATTTTTATAAAATAATTCTCAGTATTATTTAATTCGAGGATAATTGAAGTAGTGAACTTAATGTATTATTTATGCTCATAATTAATGACATTATTAATTGATTTACATATTTTATTTTAGGTACATTTTTGATTTATATTTACAAAATCCAAAAAAATCCTAGTTAATTTGTCTAGTTTGTATGGTAAAGACATTTTTTTTGTTGAAACAATTTGAATAATATTTTGTTGATAAAACATTACCAACATTCCGTCGGTCGTTTTGTATGATAAAAAACGTTATTTCCTAGTTTCTACATTAAATCAACTTCAAGTGTGGGGACTGCTGGTGTTAAACTCTCGCTCGTTTTAAGATTAAACGTAGAAAAATTCCAGTTATCGAAACAAGTATGCTTATTTGTTGTAAAATATAAACTCGTTCCGTTTGCTATTTGCGGAAATCATATAATATGTGACCCTGAGACAATATCCCTCGCAAGTGTGCTTATACGATTTCGAAAGCCAGCGCGCATCATCCAAGAGGATGTGGTTTTTCGATTTAGTTTGGACGAATGTGTAATCCAAATGCACATGTACCTTACTTACAAGTTGCATGACGTTAACTTACACTGATCGAACAATATTATTTAACTCGTGCGTTATAAAATGGTCCGTTATCTAAACATTCTATATACTGAATGTTTTTATTACAATTTCGGCTTGCGAAATAATGATACGTTATTTTCTCTACTGTAGGTAGGTTAGGTGTGTACAGTGAGATAGTGAGTGTTTACGGAGCACACGTTATTATTGATACACACTACAGTATAATTTAGGTGTTTAAACGTTAAGGTTCCAATGTACTGCAATTGATGTAGCGATACACCAAGCAGCGTACTTATAAAATATAATATATAAAGTATAATATGTATTTCCGTGGCAAGGTTGTGGGTGAAAACATCGTTGTTGTGCGGTGGTATATATTATTTATATTTATCCTTAACCGCGCAATAATTGCGGCCGTAATAATAAACAATATAATAATACTTTATTACCGCTGGAAAACCGAACGTCATATTATTATAGTACTATTAGCAGCAGCTAGCCAGTGAGTGTTGGGTCCGTAGAAAATAAATTGCGTACTATGATAGCATAGGTAATCATTATTTAGTAGGACAGTAGGTGCTTATATAATTTGTATTACTGCCATTCGAATATAATGACATATTAACGTGCCGTATTATGATAGCGCCGCCGTATCGACTATATCGACGTTCGACGCATTTCCGGTGACGGAGAACTGGTTTCTAAAATTGCGGTTTGGTTTTTTTGGGCCTTCGTCTGGAGAAGGAGTGTGTGATGGTTAGTCCAAGAAGTAGTTTGTTCTGAATTGTACGTTTTATTTTTGAGAATATTTTAGCCCAAGTCAGTTTTTATTCACCATGTTTCAAATTGTGAGGTTGTTGTAGTTATTTGTTATATTACAACCGTGGCCGTGGTAATGTGGTATTCGTTATGCGTCGGTTATATTTTAACAACCGTTGATTACTATTTGTCTATTACCTACGTACAATTCTAGTATTGATCAGTCTCGTAAAGTAATCTGAATACTTTTATTTTTTTATTTATTTAGTAATTTACAAAAATACTGAACAATTTATTATTTTAAATTTGTGATGATACAACATTTTTACTATCCATTTATTTGTTTACTTGTTACTAGCATTATTATTTATTGTACCAACATAAATACTTATTTGTATATTTAATATTATGTCCATTATTATCTATAAACGTTAGTTTCCAACCATTCATTCCAAATCTGATATAAATTATCTGGACAAAAATAGGTAACTTAACCTACCTATATAACCTGTATGTAATATTCTTTAGAATATGTAGTTTCTATGAATATATTTTCATCCATTTTTTCGAGTACGTATTCTGATTTCTAAATCAAAATATTCTTTACATGACTGGTATCGATTGTGTGACAGGAATACAGAATATTGTGTCTTCACGCCTAATATCAATCGATGGCGATGATAATCGCATCAGATGTCGGAAGCATTGCGAACTGTGCGTCAATGGGTTATTGTTATCAGTGACGTTGCCAAGCGTTTATCCACAAATTATGCAAATTATTTTATTTTCTAGACTTGTAATTGGTGGGAATGTGGGATGGGTACCTTTACTTATTATATGACTACACCTATATGATGTAGTAGATACTTATGTGCGCAGGTTTCAATAACAATCATAATACTACGTCGGTGTATGGTAATATAATTTATCATGGTTCAAGGTATTCTTTTAAAAGTGTTAGCGTTTTTGGAAATATTTTTTTCAGATAATTTGAAGTCTATAAACAGCATTTTGTATTTCATTTTGCATTTTTATCGTAATTATCTTGTTCAAGTCAAATATTTGTTTGGAATTTTTGCAGGTACAAATCGACTTTTGAATAAGTTCCTACCATTTACTTATATTATATCTAACTGTATTATTTTTTTAAGTATTTAAGAGAACAACATTTTATAAGAATGAACAAATTATGAAAATGAAGAAAATGAGTAGGTATTTCACTGTCAAAAGAATCGCCCTGTATAGTGAATAATATGTTTACCAGTGACAATCGTAATAGCTGTCATTAAAACACTGTATACTTACCTAATATCTACATAATACAATTTTTTCTAAAAATGATGACTATAATGTTTGAAGGATACAGATTCTTTTCCAGCTGTTGAATAGTTTTCTGTATATATATTATGCGCACTATTCACTTTACTTGACGGTCGTCGTTTGGGTTGTATAGTGTATACTGTATAGTGTATTCAAATTAATTGTACCGATATTGGCAAATCTAGATCCAAACTTTTGGAGCGGGTAAGCTGTAGCCACTTGAACCATTTTTAAATAACGTATGTTGAGAATATTTATTTTATCTTTAATTTATATAAATGAACGCCCTTATTATCATGTTTTTCAAAACTATAATTGCACACTGTTTATCTTTTCAATTAATAACAAACTAATTGTTATATATTATAAAATGTATCATATAATGACATAATGTAGGTATAATTTTATTTAAATAACCTAACCTAACCAGTTTACAATTTTTATAAATCAAACTACCTTATAATAACCTTAATACTTTAATTTAAGCAAATTATCCACACTAGTAGCAATCTGAAGAGTAAAGACTCATCTGAAAATCATTTTGGTCTTACAAATATCGAGTGACAAAAATGGTGAAGATATTCTCACAATGCTTAAGATTCGCAGAAAATTTGAATCACCCAATGTCCGTCTGGTACCTTGTTCGACCGACGACCGGCTTTTTGACGCCCTTCAAACGATTGCTAAGTTCACGAACACATAAATATTTAACAATAAATTATTATATATGAAAATCTTGAACACAAAAATGTTAACCGTCTAAACTTTGAACTTCGTTAACGTTAAAAGTTTGTAAGAACCGGTCTTAGAAAGAATTATTTCTAAAAGTTCTATCACCGCTGTGTAACAGAGCATCAGGTTCTTCCATCAAATTAGATACGTTTTAATTTAATTTTAATAAAAAATACTTTTAAATATGTTAAAGTACCTATGTGTTTTGTATTAAGCATGGAATTTTGAACTCAGATATAAGATATAGGTATGGGCGTACTTAAATATAACAATAACAATCACTAGTTACTGTTTTTAAGATGCACTACAGATGGTAAACTTTAGGGGGGCTTTAGGAAATTTATGATTCTGAATTAAATAAGTTTGAGAACCTGTGGTTTAAGAAAACCAATTTTAAGGTGAGATATGTTAATTTTTTAATTGTTATATTTTACATTCCCATAATTTGCATACAAATTGATATATCGTAAAAAAGCCAACATACAAACACAAATAATGTTCTTAACTTTAAGTTTGTCAATTCATTCAAATTTACTAGGTTAGTTCTGCTGAATGCATGTCTGAGCCTGAGTCAGAGAGAGAAAATAAATAGTGCGCTGACATCCTCTTAATAAATTATAAACTAATTCACGAGTTGCGTACTATACCTATTGCAATTATATTATATTTATTTCATAATCGAGGTATTCAATTCACACTTACATTGAAGGTACATTAAGGTTGGTGGGTAGTAATAGATTTTTTCAATGCTGAATTTTTTTATGTACCTAAATGGTTTTTTTATTAATGTCGTTGACACGTTCTGAAAATATAAACTACACAATCACATGAAGCACACATAATATAAAAATAATTATACTTTTTACTACTAGCATAGATTTTTTTTTAAATTAAACAAATAGGTATATTTTTTTTACTCCTGATCCGAATATATCATTTTTGACGCCAGTTATACCTAATAATAAAACTAAAAACAATAGCCAGTGAGCGAGTGACAGGCGCAGATGTAGTAGAGGGTTACGTTACGTCCAAAACTGAAATACGGTGAACCCTATACCCACCCGAGCTATAAATACAATTTTTTGTCACACGTCTGATTAAATTTTAAAATTGTATAATAGCGGTTTGGCGTCTAGATACACTAATGCGTCATCTAGAACCGAATGGGAAAAACAAATTGAATCATCGATGTTGACGTTAATTTTACTATCAATATTTTATCATTCAATGTTTTAAAGTAACCTCCTCTGCATTTCTCCCCACCAGGCTTATCCCACTTGAACTGGCGAACCACAATTTAATACCTACTTAATTTAGTTTTAGACATTTAAAAAAAAAAAACAATTGTTGGCGCTATACAATTTGCATGAAAATCTTAATTTATCTCTCTAATCATTTGGTTTTTCCACTCGCAGCTACGTTGAGGATGACCCTGTGTCTGGGTTCTGGTCGTGGCTGTTCGTGCTGTCCAAGCTGCCCGAACTCGGTGACACGATATTCATCGTGCTCCGCAAGCAGCCGCTCATCTTCCTGCACTGGTATCATCACATCACCGTGCTGCTGTACACGTGGTTCTCGTACATGGAGTTCACGTCGTCCGCCCGGTGGTTCATCGTCATGAACTACTCGGTACACTCGATGATGTACACGTATTACGCTTCGCGGGCCATGGGCTACCGACCTCCCAAGCAAGTGTCCATGTTCATCACTGCCAGTCAGCTGACGCAGATGCTGGTCGGCTGCTTCATCAACTACACCACTTACGGTTACCTGAAGTCCGGCGGCCCGCACTCGTGCCGTGTGTCCAAGCTCAACATCACCCTGTCGTCGGCCATGTACTTCAGTTACTTGCTGCTGTTCGCCCGGTTCTTTTACAACGCGTACCTCAACAAGGGCCGTGTCAGCGCGTCCAAGAAATCGTCCAAGCAACATTGATCCCGGACGACGGTGGTTACGTCTTCTTCTGCGGCGGCTCCCGCTGCGGTGGCTACGGTGGCTGCTACTGATGCAAACACCGCTGCTGCCGCCGTGATGCGCCGCCGCAGTGTGATGTGCCGTCGCAGCTGGCCATTGATTTTCAAACACGTGCACTGATATTATTAAATACTATTATTTACGAGATTAATACGTTGCGATAGAAGATCATTATTATTATTATTTATTATTATTATTATTACTATTACCAATGAGACGAACATGTGCTAATTTTTTTTTGAAAAATTTTCTTGCTCGATTTCTATATTATTTTCATCGTGTGTTTTCTTTTTTTTCTTTCTGTTTATTGTTGTGTAGGAAAACCGTTCGTTTTTTAGACAATAAATATATATTTTTTTTGTATTTTCTACTTAGTTTGTACTTTACTTCTGCGAAGAAAAAACTCGAGTCGCTGATCGATTATAACGGAGTTGTAAGTTGTTTTATAGGCATTTTTGTTTCAAGTGCGTGTATCTACATAATAGGCCAACTTAGCCTAATAAAAAAGAAAATATTATTTTCTAAGAACTTACTTTTTTCTTTAGTTTATTTTGTTCCTTCCTTTTGTACATTTATTACAGGTTTCTCAAAGCCCAACTGCGCAATAGCAGGGCATCTTCACTCAACCATGTGGAAGGAATTCCAGATAAGGAGGCCAAGGTTCCCCCTCAGGTTTCAAGTATTGAGTTATTTTTAGGATCCTCTAATTTTGCACCATATACATATATAAACATATTATAATATTGTGCGTTGAGCTATAACAGTTTTATACTAATAGTTAATAAAAAAAAATTAAAATATTGTGCCTACAAAAAATGCCTAGTAAGTTTTTTATTTATAACAAAACTATGTTTAAAGTATGCTAATAATGTAGCTACTCCAATTAATTATATCAATAACGAAGAAGAATTAAAAACTGTTTATATTTATAAGTATGAAACATATGTTAGTAATTTTATTACAAATTCTTAATATTTTAAAATGATTTAATGAAAAGTCATTAACTGACGTATTCACCCAATGTAGTAATGTATAGGTTTACATTACTGTAAAGATTTATTTAACTATACCAAGTATGAGCTGCCAAAAGAAGGTTTCTAAGACTTGGAATTCTTAAAAACAAATTCAGAACGAACAGCATACAAGAAGATTTACGTGGTATTCATGATATTGATGTCAGAAAAATATATTTTTAAGTCAATAATAATTTTAGCGATGTAATACAAATATTAGCTTCAGAAAAAGCTAGACAATTTTTTTAAATTGAACATGAGTTATGACTTATGACTAGGGCACGGAACTTAATGCACTTACAACAGTGTTTCCCAACCTGGAGAGGCATGAACATCCATCATAAAGTAAAATTTGTATTTATTTAACAATGCAGGGAAAAAATAATAACGACCGGTTATTGGGTATCGATACAGATTACAAGTTTTAGGGGCTAAACACTCATAATCTGCGAAGGAGTACTTGATCGTTTTATGCCGCCATGACGTCCGTAAATTAATTGTTTTCAATTTATAGGATGGGGGTGCGAGATTTTGAAAATGTACATAGGGGGCATGGAATATAAGAGGTTGGGAACCACTAACTTAAAAAGTAGTAAACATGCATGCAATAAAAAGTACAATAAATTAGTATGCATTGAAAATATGCACCTATTTTACTCAAAATTTTTGTAAATACAAATATTTTTATATTTAATAATTTTCATTAAATATTTACAATTCAAAACGGGAAATTGTATGTTATCTTGGGATTTGAAAAATATAATTCAGTAATACCAAGTGAAAACTTAAAATAAATATACATTATAATGAATTATAATGTAGGTACCTAATCATTTATTTTATTGCCAAATTTTCAATTGAATTTTATCATTAACCATCAAATATGCTCTAAAAAACCAAAACATTAAATATCCAAAAATACGAACACTATTCTTATTTTTTTTAATATTTTTTTTGTAATGTGAAAATTAATTTCTAGCTTACAGCTAAATAAATATATATAGCTAAATATATATAATACTTATAGCAATAAATCTAATAGCAAAAAAAAAAAAAAACGTGAAAATGCAATTTCATATTGGAACCTCAAAAATGTTAATCCGGCTATGCCTTTAGTTTTTCACTCAATGGTTTACTGTTCCTTGCAAAGCGTAGCTATATTTTGGTAGACAATTATTAATCAATTTATATCACTTTGGTTATTGGGTACTGTACAGTCGATGTTTGAAATGTGTCAAGTTGTTGTGCGGACCGAATTTTTCAATCGACTCGCGTCGCATGCCATCGTAGAGGGCACCTTCATATATTTAAATCTAGTTAGCCTTATATTATATATTATATATATATATATATATATATTAAGGCTCTTTATTTAAATTTAATTGCAGTGATGAAATCACGATTATTTCCTCCGTAGGATTTTGATCTCGCGCTGTATTGTACATTGTTGGGATAGTAATAAAACGTCTGTAACCATAAATGAGGTACCGTGTTCTTCCACAATTCTTAAAAAAAAAAAAATCAAAACAACAAAACCACCCCTTTTTTATCAAAATTAGAAATTTTGTACCCTGATATATATATTTATTAAAACTTGAAAATAGGTACAGGCAGACTATTAATTTTAATATCGATCATTATCTTTCATTTTTCTCTATATTTATATGTATAAACATTAGATATGAAAAAAAAAATCATTGTTATAAAATATAATTTTTATAATAATTTAGAACTTGAATAACTTCAAATTATAATATAATATAGATATAATTAAATTAAAGTAAATTTTTCTAAATACATACCTAATATTAATTGTTACAAATAACAAGTAGGTAACTCAACCTGATTCGTGATATTTTAAACCATTTATGCATACGAGATAAATGAGTTGAACATAATATATATATATATATATATATATATATATATACCAACACTTTATGAGAATCAATAAAATTTGAAAAAACTTAATTTGACTAAAATGACAAAATATTTAATAATGCGTACTGCGTGTATTATTATAACAATATTTAATCAAATATTTTAATCAGCGAACGAGATTTTCTACTTTCCATCAAAATTATATGAATTTATTTATTCCGGTTCTTGTTAAAGAAAAATGTTCATTGTTTTTATTTATTCGAATTTTAACAAACAGACATTATTATTGGTAAATATAATACGACAAAATCCAGTTGTTCTTGAAACTATAATATACTTAGTTCAATGATTAAAAAATTCAGTTGAAACTCGTCACCTTGAAATACTAATGTCTGGAGCAGTGCTGGTTTAAAAAAAAAAGAAGAATTTTGAAATCAGGTAGTGTATAGTAAAAATTCACCGAGTGTCCGAGTGTTGAAATTTTCACAGGGATGCCGATTTTTTATACCGATATTTATGTTTATAATTATTATATAATATTAATATTAACCTATTATTTATACCTATCATTTGTTATAGTCAGATAGGTAATCATAGGATTGTAATTCATTTTTACTGCTCACCTACGACCTACCAATTGAACCTTAGAATTTATTTATATTAAATTTATTGCCTATTGGCTATTGTTTGTTGAAATGTATTAAATATCTAACTAGGTATTTATTTTTTCTATTTAGTTATGATATAACATGTACAAACAATTAATTGTTGGCTTTTACATAAAAGAGGCTGAGGCAAAACAAAAATTAGCATATAAGCACTGGTTTGAAGGTTTGCGTATAATTTATTATTGTTTTGGGGACATGCAGTTTGTATAAGAATACTGTCCTATACTCCTGTTAAGAGTATCTTGATATTTCAAATGCTATTTTGTAGAATATTATAATTCCTTGATGTTAAAAAAAAATAGGAAACACTTATCTGTTTGTGGCTCTGAACCCAATGCAAAAACATATATTAGATAAGTGTGTGTGAACAATGAACACATTGCACAATACATGGACTAAAACAGTCTACAATACACAGTAGGTATACATATATAACCTATAATCATTTAATTAAATTATAATTTAAATTTAAATTTTATGTATTTTGAATATATTTTAATTATATTTGTACAGAAATTGGTATTTTTTCATTGTTAAATTGAATGTTTAGCTTTAGATTAATTTTCTACAGTTGGACACAATGCTCATATATAATTAAAAAATTAAATAATTTTTCAATTCTTTGTTTATTTCAATTTTTTTATATGAAATAACTTTTAAAAAATGCATAATAATTCAACAATTTTAATAATATATTATGAAGTTACCTTCCTAGATGTATGCATTTTTTAATTATTAGGTAGGTACTTATATAAATGTATTTTATATTTAATTACATTTTAAATATTTTGCAATAAACGTATTCACAGAAAAAAAAGTAAGTTTTAAATTTAAATATATTGTGTTGCGTAAAGGCTCTTTAATTTTAAATTTGATTTCTATTAATAATTAATTTTTTTTTTATTCATCAACAAAATGTGCAAACATATGAAACATTAATAATTTTTGGGTTGAGTTTTATGCCTGCATGTACTATTATGAATTAAATTGTTGTCGAATCAGTTTTGGAATAGGTATGTATATAGCTTCTCAAGAAATATGCAAATGCATGAAGTTCCGAGCCCTGTAACTTATCTAGGTTAATTTTTTTTTCTTATGGATTTATACTAATAATAGTAATAAATAATAACATATAATTATATTCACTGATGATTACTATTTAGGTACTGTATATCAATCGTGGACAGGAAGTACCTACTACCTATCTACCCATTTTACATCGGGGTAATTTATTACGTTGGTAGGTATCTATTTAAAATTAGAAATTAATAAACTATAATCATATCATGGCGTTTTATTTTGTATTCAAATATAATTGAATATTACAAACTGCTCGATATTAATATACCTAGGTATAATGGGAGCTGGGAGGGGACAACGGAGCAATATAGTAAATGTTACTCTCAAAAATCCATAATATATCGTTTTTTTTGTCATTATATGATTCGTAATCTTCGGTAGTAAGTAAACTATACATCACATCATCACAAGTATTGTCCCTATGGATCGGTTGAATAGAAAACCTTGATCCAATATACTTGGTGGATTGATGTCCATTACCTACTATCAAATTCAGTAGGTATCTATACTCGGACACGATAGCTCTGAGTAAAGAATTAAGTAAGTATAATATATAATATTTTATAGACATATATCACATACCTACCGAGTACCGGCTACCGGTTACCGGCAATGTAGATATTTTTAATACGAGTTATTGTATATTTATTATATTATATTTTACTAAAATGGCACGACGTGAGTATTGTAAATGAATATTTTTTGAATTACGCAAGTCATAATGACCATGTTTTGTAAGCTTATTTGCAAATTATATCGTTGTTATTGTAAATACCTGTTGTACATATAGGTACCTACCTAATGTACCATTTTAAGCGTTGATCGATTTTCAACTGCAAACAACATAATATTCCAACTAGGAATTAAGAGCATATGAATGGTCGTATAATAATACATGGTTTGTGCTTGTAGTTTGTACATATAATATTATAATATATAGCCGCGTTTCATATTTGGATAATATTTTATTTTTCAACGCCTATAAAGAGTTTTAAGTTCTCCAAAAAGTATTTTAACAATAGTATATAAATTATAAGGTATGTACGTAATACACTAATATATATGTTTACACTGTTTCCAACAGTACCTAATTATTTTTTTCAGTCGGTTCAAAAAAGTTAATTTCCAACTTTGATGACGATAGAGTTAAATTATTTTTTTGTTGACTGTAATCGTGTGATAATATATTCTCATATTGGATGTGGTGGACATTTAAATTTCAAATAGATTTTATTAACTATACAACGGCCGTCTCAATTATTCTAGCGTCTTTTGCTCTGCGAGAAGTCAAGACAAGTCAAATAGGACGAGGCCAAAATCATTTTCTATTAAGACGAGGTAAAATATTTCATTTCATTAGCATGTTAATGTATTTCATTGACTATGAGCCTCATCTATAATAATATTAATTCCTAGTTTGTCAATGTAGATTGCTTTGTTCGTGACAGCGGAAATGGAATTTAGCATAATACTATTATATTTTTGGTTCAATGAAGAATCGATCGAAATTATGGTCCTATAAAAAAAATGCAAGTTCATATTCTTAATTCAGTGTGCAGGACATAATCAATAATGTCAATGGTTTGAAGTTACTTTACCAGAGAACTTTGACATTTCTACTAATAATATACCTTCGTTCTTTGAAATTATTATAACTTATAAGTAGGTATGGTATACACTAAAATATTTTATGTTGGTGAATAAACGTTACTGGACTGGGTAGCAGTATTGTGATAAACAGTTCTCAGTTCCCATTCCCTGTTTTTTGAACGAATACAAATAAAAACGTAGATATAGGTAGGTACCTAAAGGTTTTAAAAGACATTTATTATTATTTATTGAATCGAAACAACTTTAAATCTGTATCCTATCGCTTTTACGTATTAAAATATAATATGTCCTATGTTATACTGACGACAACTTTTTGGAACTCGAGAGAACATTAAAGGGTTTCTTATAAACGGAACATGATCAAAATGTATGATGCTTACCAATAATATGCAATTTCAACACACATTTAAATATTGGAAGGTAGGTAGGAATACAAAATATATAATTTCATAAGGTCCTACCTATATATATATATATACATATATGCGTATTTGCATACATTTCAATCTCTTTACCAAATACCTTAAGTCATATAATATTATCAATCACCTACCAGGTCCTACTTATATAGGTAGGTACCTTATTTTATATTGTAAAACTCGTACACCTACCCAGTACCCATAGCTTATGGATATATCGTACATCGTACATAACACATACCATGGTCGTTCAACAAACAATAAATTATCAATTTATTATAAATTGTAATAAATATTATAATAATAGGTGCGATCTCATCAACGCATCATTGTGTCTTTGCCATTAACATTATACGCTGTACCTAAATTCTTTTGGTCTATCACATTCGATTATAAATTATTATATTACCAATGTATCGCCATAACGGTGTTTGTATTAAGAGTTTAATGATCTATCGTATACAGAATAGTATTGTGAATGAATGTTCCGTTTAGATCGCACGTAGGTACGACGTCACGCTGCTGCACCTATATGGAAGACTGGGAATTAACGAGTTAAAATTAAGTTATTAATTAATTCGTTTTATTTTTTACAAATTGACTTTAAACTTAATAAGTTATTTTTTTTCAAGATTAACGTGTTAACTTCAAGTTAATTTTATTTCAAAAGTATCTAAATTTAGTGAATTTTCGTCCGAAGAATAATGCACATTTTTGAATGAGATTTTTACTTTGATGTATCATTTTAAATTTTCCTTGTAATTTTCTTGAGCGTAAAGAAAAACTAGGTACCATATATATATTATGTGTCTGGAATTTTTTATATTTGCAAATTACTTACCAAATTTTAACTTAACTAGTTTACAAAAAAAATACGAGAACATTTTAACTTAACTTAACTTTATTATTTTAAAATAACTTAACTTAACGAGTAAAAAAAAGTCGTTAACTCGCCAACCTTGTCATCTATTTAGTAATCTGTAGGTTTAGATGCTTTGATATATTATATTGTGTTTATCGTGCATTGCAGGTACGACGGACGGCATTAACCTAGAGACGTGAAAAGGTGATATTAAATTTGCAGTGCAAAAGAATATTGCGAACCGACGTTTTAAAAGACACTGCTCAAACAGCAAGTGTCAGTATCATATAGGAAATAAGCGTGCAGTGGAAATATAAAACACACATAGTACGCCATCGGTACCTATATACAATTTAATATTATTTAGTATGCTTATTGCGTAGTATAAAAAACTGTAAATTATTGCACGATCTCGTGGCATTTGCTGCTATATCGCGACCGAATAATGGATGGAATCAATCGGCCGTAAACAATAATAATTATTTACAGCTAGGTACGATATATTATTACGTATTTTTCACTTGGTCCTATACATCTGACGTCCAAAAAACATTTAGTTTTTCACGCCCTCTGAAAATTGTACGGTGCACTACGTATAAAGAAAATACCTCAGCTATATACAAAATATAGTATTTATACTGTTATGTTAAATATTATTTTTTTTGGGAACAGAATATTCCCATTTTTGATTGTACATCCCCGCATACAGTCGTCCCCGAATGATCAATAAACCCCCTTTTATCATTACTTATGAATAATCATATGCCATCATATTTTACATCATATTCAGATATTCTTAATATGCAATAAGACATCGTTCTTACTTTTTAGATACATCTTGACACGTAAAATTATAATATTATCTAAGCGATAAAAAAACAGTGATGATACATATCTAATTATAAGACATGGACATCATTCATACATTCAGATTTTCATAACAATATTTTGTGCATGCAGTTTGATAAAAAACTAAGACTTTATAAATTAAACGATAATAATTTTTATTATTGTTTGTTATATTATAATATTATCTGGTTTAATTGTATAAATAATATCAAAATATAACATCATCATAATAATATTATATTATAGTGGATGAAGTTCTGTCAAAAACAAACGTGGTCTGTTGAAAAGAGGATTTTTCGGGGACTCACGGCTTGCGCCACGGAGGCTAACAGTGTTATAGGGCGGTTAAAAGAGAGGATACTTTATGGATACAGTGTGTAGCTGTCTTTGCCCACAGCAGGCCCGCGGAGGTGCTCTCAGCCCATCATGGCTCGTATCAGCACGGTCGGAGACATAAAGTGGCAGTCGTGGGCCGGTGGACAGGTTCGGACGAAGTTCCAATAATCCAATGGTGTCCTGCAGGGTTGTCGGTGGCTGTCCGGTTTGCTGGGTGGCTTGGCCACTCTTCTTTGCCAAAAACTCCTTCATCCCGGACATGTCCCTCTTTTCTTGCCTGGTCGTCTCCCCTGTTGATTTTGTTGTTGGTGGCGCTGGGATCCGGGTGGACGAGATTGGTCCCAGTTTCTTCTCTTCCTGTTTTATCTTGTAGCCCATCTGCTCGTCGGTGTGACTCAGTCGTTGTGCTGGTGGTGTCAGGATGGTTGGTGGGTGGGTGGGGAAGGGTTCCACTCTCGTATATTGAGGTGGGCTGAGACACGATTGAGCATAAAACACCTTTTTTACGACACGATTGAGCCAAATTGTCGGCGTATCAAAGGAAATCAGAATACAAAAGAAAACCTACACGATTGAGCATAAAAAACTCTGCAACGTTGCCATTTTCCATTTTAAACTATATTATACAAAAAGATTTATTTAAATAACTATTATAATTCAAAATATAATATATCAAAAAAATGACATAATGATGATGATGATAATAATAATAATAATAGTTATGAAAATAATAAAATCAAAATATGGTACTAATTAAAAAAAATACTGCATGGTTTATAACTTTATAAGTCAAGAATACTATAGAGTATGGGCGGTGATCGAACACTGATATTATTTAAATGATAATTTTGGAATCGTATCTTAATTTATTATCTTATGTTTTCCTCTAATTTTAAATTTTTAAAACTTCGGAACTTTATTGCTCCGGAACTAATTTATTAACCGATAACATTGTCGATAAAGCTAAGCTCAGCTCACGACTCACGTCTGGTATCATAACAATTATTGGTGCAATAATATGTGAAAATAATAAATTACAAAATTTCGGCCCCATAAATGTGGCAATATCGCATAAAAATTCTATGCTCAATCGTGTTGCTAAAAAGGTATATGCTCAATCGTGCTTTACCGATTGAGTGTATGTCTGCTGTTTGGTCCTCCCACCCGCATTGTTACGCTGCCCATAAACCTGGGTCCCCGAGCATTTGTTCCAACGGCATGCGCCTTGTCCTCACAATCGTTAAATTCTGCTCATTAACCGTATATTGTATGGTTTGGATAGCGTCCAGCATGATGTATTTCTGTGCTAAACTCTTTAGCTCAAAGTCTCCAAAAATATGCTGAAAATTAAATAAAATCATTATTTTTACTATAGAATTGTGCGCACCGACACGATTAAGAGCCGAATTTTACAATATTGAAAAATTAATAAATCAATTGCTTATAAATTAAATTTATAATATTAATTGTATCAATGTAATAAAATGTATACATAATAATAAAATGTGTATAAAATAATATATTATGAATCCTCGTCTTACCCAGGTTTCCACTACCTACTATTGTATTAATTAAAATGAATTTTTTTCGGAACAACAATTTGAATAAGCTTGTAAATAACTAGTAATGACGTAGGTATATTGTGTATTTATAATTCAGAAGTCCGCCAAAAAACCGGTTCTTAGTTTTACGCATAGCACGTAGGTATCTGTTAGAAACGAAAAAGCTCGATTCCTGTTCCAGATAATTATTATTGTTTGGGAACCGAGTAACTAATAGCACAAAAATGTAAATGTACCTACACTTCATTACTTCAATAAAAAATGTTCTATTCATCATATAATTTTACGCCATAATGCCATAATCAATTAACATAGGTACATTTATTTTATAAATTAAAAATAATGAGATTTAAAAATGAAGTGCATTCTATATTTAATTCACAGGTTAAAGTATATTAATTATTAGGTACCATATAATAAATCCCTAGAGGCATACATGAATTATTTGATTTTCATAAAAATATTGGTCTTTCAAGTTAGAACAAAAGCGAGAATTTCCAGTTTTTGTCGGAAGCCTTCAATCCGGACAACACACAACACTACATTACTACAACTACAGTTGATAATCTTCTTTAACAACTCAAAATTATATAAAAGATTGTAAACTATACAAATATAAAAAAAAAGAAATAATGATGCAAACTAATATAATTTAAAGTATATGTTAAAAAAGTTAATGGCCATCGATGCCCAATAGTAAAAAAGTCATATAAGTAAATTATATTTTTTTTAAAAGTCTACATCATTTCGATTATGATATTTAACTATTTTAAAATGTAACGAAGATGAGGAATAGGTCGACGAAAAATGAACCTTTTACTTCCAAATTATTGGTTGGTTTGAAAAAACACATTCACGTCTGAATGACCTGATGTTCTATTGTCCTCCTGATTCCTGACATAGTAGTGATATAATTACTATAAGTACCTACTTATAAAGTTAATGATTTTAAATTATTTAAAAAAAATAAAAAAATATAGTAATGTTATTAGAGTAGCATGCAGCAAGCTACTAAATATTTTCGCTTTGCAAGGAAAATTGTGGAATCATAGATATGTTTTTGGCTATACTCGTAGTCCAGTTGAAAAACTTCTATGCACGTTAAAATTTTAAAAATATTTAGATTCGTTTTGAACTGTTTACAAACATTTTCTGTTTCCAATGTGTATAGGTTTTTTTCTATGAATGTCAATAAAATTTTATTTCCTCGTAAATAGGTGGTTATTCTGTACTTAACCAAAAAATCTAAAAAAAATTTTTTATACTTATAGTTATTTTATGTTAATAATTTGACAAAATGTTATTATGTCATAATAATTCAACTTAACCGCGGTATTTATAATAACAACAACATAAATATAATATAAAATATTCTAGGCTGACAAACCGTCTCCGCTCAGAATCGTTTTTCATATATAATGATAATGTTATATCATTGAATTAAAATTTAACGCCATCCATTACAGGGACCCATTTGTAACCTACTGAACAGCAGAGCGACATCCACTTGCCCACCTTTTTTTTTTTAAAGGGATGAAAGGCATTTGGTATTCTCTCATAATTTTATAATATGTGCTCAATTACCTATGATGATCCGAGTCTGCGACGGGTTAATATTGTCTGGTGATTGGTTGTGTCTGCCACAACGAGCATAATAATATATACGCGGTTGAATGTGGTTGCAATGTCATGTAAACCCGTATGTTTAACAATTATTATATCATTGCGAAACCTGCCACGGTTCGTAAATACGAAACGTTTCCCGGAAAATTGTACTATAATAACGATAATACTATCACAGAAGTCAAGTAACACAAGTCATAAAAAGCAAATTTTACAGGTGAGACAAAACAAAAATGTTTGTTGTAATAGACTTACAATTGTATACTTCAAAAATATTATTTTGTAATAATTTTCTTATGTATCACACTGGACATACGTTTCTATACTCCTATCATAGTTTAGTACCTACTTATATAACTAACTCAAAATTTCAAAAAATGGACTTGCGTTAGTTGACTTCTGTGGTACAGCTATAATAATAGTTTTATCTAATATTCCAGAGAAAATCGTCTATTATTTTAGTATTGGGACAAAAGTGCAAAAACAATGTAATTACCTGCTTCATAATATTATAGTCTGCTTCAATACCCGCCTCTAAAAGTTTTAGTTTAAAATTTGACGCTCATTATGTTTCAAACATATTGTTAATATTATTACAGTGTATTTTTTTTATTTCAAAAACAATAAGTGCCCACCTTTTGTTAGGAATTTAATTAATTTTTTTTTTTAGTTTATTGTTTATTTGCATTTCTGTTCAAAATAAATAAAGTGTTACAAAAATGGGCCTCGAAAAAATAAGTAAAAAAAAAAAGTTGTACTCAGCCCAAAAACGAAATATCTATGGTTAAAAATAAATATACAAATAACATATTATATCAACAATAAACTGTGTATGATATCCTGCAAGGGTTTAAATAAATCAAATACAATTGAACAACAATTAGTAGAAAGGCAGGTTATTTGCCTAAATTAAAAAAAAAAAAAACCATGATATAATATTATATAAATGTTAAAACAGGAAAACAAAAATTGCATGAAGCTTAAGGACAGAACAACCGGACAATCAAGTGATGATCAATATTGTTTTACTTGGTTGTCATAAATAGCAATTATATATTATCGAACTCGTTTTAGATACCTACTCTGGTACCGGTCAAGTTCACTGCTTATAGTGTTTTCACAAACAGTACCTACTTGACTACTTATGACGAGTACCTACCTACCTACAGACTTTTGTTTTAAATATGAATATGGGTTATTTTTTCAGAAGGAATCTATATTATTTTATATTTTATTGATTATTTAAACCTAACCTATTCGTTGTCTGTTCTCATTTATTATCTAACCAATATAGGTACCTATGTGTTGCGTGTATTATAAAAATGAAATATAATATAATACTAATAAACTGATAGGTACCTACAAAACTATAAAGTATAAAATTAACCATCTACCTCTTACATAAACACATTTTTATTAAATTAACTATCAGATAATCATCAATGTATAGGTAAAAATTGGACAAAAAAACTTCTTCTATATTTAAAGAAATTATAAAATATGTCCAATTTATGAGTTGTACATTCATTATTTACTGTTTAGTTTGTATCAAAATGTATTTTAATGACCTAATTGTAGTAGGTATTAATACATATTTTACCTAAGCGTTATTGATGATTAAAAATGGCATCTTCTTCGGTCTCTGTGATTGAGGTTGAAGTTTGATTTATCTCAACTTTGTAAATAGGGAAATATAAATTATTATAGAAATAATTAAACATAAATAAGTATACAGTGTGTCAGTGTGTTGACTTGCAAACTATATTTATTTCTAAAGACAGGAATCAGCAAAAACTAATTTGAAAAATATTCAATGATTAAAATAAAAATATTGTTAGTACAAAAATCCCTGTCATGCCTTTGGACAGATTCAGTTTCTTTGACGATCGTTTTTTAGAATTTTAATTTAACAACTTATTTTGCGTCATCTTTTTGTTTATCGCCTATACTCTTTTTGAATAGAATACACGTTTATTGCATAGCTACGTTTCTAATTTTTTTTTACGTTACGCTGGATGCGAAGGGAGGGCGTTTCCGCACTCGCCTTACTACCTTTAATAAGCACAACCCACATAAGTAATAAGTTACCTATTGCTTGTTATTGCTAATAATGTACTTAATCGTAATAAGCTACGATAGTGTTGTTTGATTGAAACTTGGAACAATAACAACGATTCGTTCCATAGCAACCATTAATTATAAACACAAACACGTTTAAAATTTGTTCGGTTTCAACAATCTAATATTATAATATCATAAGAAGTTGATGTCGACGGGGACATAAGAATTATAGTATTTTCCTCGGCATCCGACAAGTGCAGGTTATAAAAAAAAAAATGGTTCCAATTAGTTAGGTATTTGGACTAGGGCACATATTATGAATAATATCTCACAGAATTGTATAGTGTTCGAAATGACGAAATATTATGATATATAAGTTCTATATTTGTCGACAAAAAGGTCAAAGAACGTGCATTTATGGTTGCTACCATGGCAACCAGAGTATATACATGGCCAGAGTGCCAGAAACACATGGTTCGACACAAAATAATGCATTCAGAATTCAGTTTGTCGCTAACTAATGACTTTGAGTTGCATTGCTAGTAATAAATTGTGTTCTTGGTCAAATACAATGACGTCTACTTCTCAGAGGTAAACTACACTGTTCGTAAATACTTAATAAATTCAATTATTGTATGTAAATACGGTAAACCATATACCCACGCCTACAGATATAATACCGCCAATGATGTAATTTAAGTAATAAGTCATAACTAATAATTTAATATAAATAATATAAATTAAATACAATTTATATTAATATTGGTTATAATATTATTATTAGAAATGGTCAAACCATACTCGAATTGGCTATGTCTTCAAAGAATGTTACATCCGACATGGTACCGGTAGAGAGAACTTTGCTAGTAATTGGGAGTAAAAATGCGGTAAGTGTTCATGCATTATTTATATACATGTCTACTGTCTAGGTACTATAAAACAATAATATCATTATTATCGTCTATTAAAATATTCAAAACAAACAAATTTACATTATGAAATTGAAAAAATCAAAATCTGTTATTTGCATTGAGTTCATAGATGTTAAGCACTTTATTATTAAGATTAGCAGACAAATGAATCAATGTGGAAAATCGAATGCCCTATGAATTCAAAGCTATATAATATTGAGAACAATAAAAAAAAATTCTACAATACAATACACTAATTATACGTAATATATTATGTAAACTGTATTTTATTTTGATATTCGGTATATTATTTAACATAATAAAAATAGCCCTAGTTTACAAGATTATTTTACAATATTTATACAGGGTGACTTACCATGCACACACAACAGTACAACACCATTGTTTAAGGCCCAATAAATAAATATTATGATACCTAGTGATATGACAAAATTGTATTCACCGCTTGATAATCTTATGTATAAAGTATTATTTCCTACAGTGAGTCATCATCGCCTAACCCGAATCGCTGTAGCTATGAGTATGACATTTGGACAGTAGTTTTGTTTTGTGATTCAAAAAACCCCTAAGACAGGATTTTTACAAAATTCGAACCCTATAGGGGTTAAAAGGGGTAAAAGGGGCAAAAATGAAAAAAATTACAGAAAATATTTTTTTATTTGTACTTAAGTCAGTGCATTATGATTTTGCTTCCACAGTAAATTACACTCAAAAAGAGTTAATTAATTACAAGATTTTTCTTGGGCAACGCCGGGGAATTCAGCTAGTTTACAGTATAAAAAAAACACTTTTCTAAAAAAACTAAAAAATAATGAAAAATTTAAAAGTGTGGTATAATATGTCAAGTGTAAGAGCGCCACACACTTTTAAATTTTTCATTATTTTTTAGTTTTTTTAGAAAAGTGTTTTTTTTAAAAAAATTTTTTATTTTTTATTTTCTACTCTTTAGTTAAAAAATTTTTTTTACGGATTATTGTATTGTCATCCAAGACCAAGGTCTATACCAATTTTCAGAATTTTTCATCTTCAAAAAGTGCCTCAAATCGAGCGCGCAAGATTTGATCACAGACGGACGTGAAACCAAACTTAAGAAAAGTGTTAAAAAGGGAGTTATTATTTAATAAACCATATTATGTTACCAACAGAAAATGTTGTTTCACTTGTTAAGAAGTTCCAAAATCTTATGAATTTGAAAAACTGCATAATTGAAGAAGGGGTGAGCAGGATTTGTGAATCCTCCCATCTAATTAATAATATAATTTAATGTTTATACTGATGGCAGAATAATGGATAATATATTTTGGTAATATTTAACTTTAAAACGTGCGTCGTATACAATATTACAATATTTCACTTTTCTCTTAAGGAGGAAGCAATATTATTATAATATACCTCGGTACCTAAACATGTTTGGTCTTTACTTTTGCTTAACTTTGACATTGAAAAAACAGAAATTCTACATATTTTTAATGTGATAAAAAGTGTAATAATATATTTAATACATTTAAGTAGGGTACTAATTACTTCAGTACTTGCTATAAATTTCATAATATTATACCTTTATAGGTAGTTCCTACATTTCTTTTCAGCTACATAATTTAATTGTTAAGAGTACTTACGTGATACCCGCATGATGTTTGTCTCCGTCTTACAAGTGCATAACATAGCAAATTGTACGCTCAGAAAAACACATGTAGCTAGGGTAAATTTACCTCTGATAAAATCTAAAGGTAAGATTATTATCTAGACATCCTCTTGAGCTTTTTGTTATATTTTAATTTTAAAGCGAGCTCTGCGTATTTTAAAATTTTAAATTGTTTGTTCATTTTAAAGTACTCATAACTCGCTTAAAAATTAAAATATAATGAAAAGCTCATAAGGTTGTCTAGATAATAATCTTACATTTAGAACTTATAAGAGGTCAATTTACTCTAATTTTTAAACTAACGGAGCTACACGTCTTCTGCTTTGCGTAGAATTTGTCATGTTACGCACTTGTAAGACGGAGACAACACATGCGGGTATCATGTTTTTATAAGCTATTGTGACGTCATTATAGGAGATGGGTATTTACTACTTATCATAGATAATATTGTATGGTGCCAGGTTGAGGTAAAAATTAACTAGCAGGCAGAGTCTATACTGGCGGAATCGATGCTACATCATAAGATGGATCTATTTTAGTTGAAAACACAGCTGGAATCAAATCCCTTTTATTTAATTTTGATCATAGTAAGATATTTGAATAATAAGTTATATATATTTTTTTAATTAATTCGGGAATTCTTAAATATTATATACTTATAGTTAAAAATATTTTTTAAACATATTCGCTGATGACAATTCATTAATTTTGCAGGGTAAAACTTCATTAATACATTCATTTTTTGACAAAAATGAAAGGCCAAAACCCACACTGGCTTTGGAATATTCATTCGCAAGAAGATCTGGAAAAAGTTTAGTAAGTTTTGTTTGTTATTGTTACTAAAAGTCTAAAATAATGTAAATGTATCATGTTAGAAATTTGGCTTTAAAACAAGTAAATAATATCAGACAGATACGATATTGTACCCAATGCCTTATTTAAAAGCAGATACCTCTTCAGGATTTAGCGTTCCTAACCTCTCCGCCATCTCCACGCTGATGACAATTTTTAAAAATAAATCATTTTTTATTTTTATTTCATATAATTGTATGTCGGTATTATTGTTGTACAGCGAAAGTACATAATCCAATTTAAAGATACTCATTAAAATTAGATATATTATATTATATTTTTTTTGTGAGCATTGAAGTAACCAACTAAACATGATCGTACAAGTGTACAACACGTCATATTACCTATAAAAAGTATAAATGGTTTATCACGCGATGTCTAAAGGTATGTTAAGTTAAAATGTAAATACATGCAAAATCAATGCATTTAGTGTAAAATCTATTAAGATTGCACCTTAGTCAACTGATTAGGTTTCTGCCGCTTCGGTACCTAAAAATAAAAAAGGCTTTAAATAATAATTATACATTATATTATACAATAATAATAATATGATAAATTATTATAATATGAAGTTTTAATTACATTTTATACTTAGATGCATCTATTTAATGTCACTGTTTTCTGTGTAAACCGTGTGGAAAGTGGCGTAACCACGCATTTTGTATGGGGGGGGGGGAGCTAAGTCTCACAAAAAAATACAAAAAATACAAATACAAAATGTATTTTATTTACACTTTTTTTTATTAATCTTGATAAAATTCTAAGGTCAACACAATCAATGGGGGGGGGGGGCTATAGCCCCGCTTAGTCCTCCTCCCTGGCTAAGCCACTGAGTGTGGCTAACACGTTACGATAATATACCAAATGGTTGAAATTGTTCAACTACTTTAACCTTGTGGTTCGGTTCAGATAGGGAATTACTAGGTAGTAAAAACATTATACCTTTACATCGTTATTTGATTTAGTGAATAACAAGACAAATCTTAGATTGTGGAAAACTGTAATAGTTAATGGATTTCTAGGAAAACATAAGAATTTTTTTTTGTGTTTTAGACAAAGGATATTTGTCATGTTTGGGAATTGGGTGGTGGTTTAGTTTTCAAAGATTTGTTATCCGTGATAGTACAAAAAACGGGAGGTCGACGTTTGAGTGTCGTGTTGGTATTGGATCTATCGAAGCCGGATATTCTTTGGAACACCATGGAAATGCTTCTAGAAGAAATTAAGATACACCTAGAAAATGTACCAGAGATTGAACAGTATAATCAGATTAATGTTAAAAATGTCGAGGTTTGTTTTAATTTATAATATACGTAATTTATTGTATTACACTTGTGTAACCTACGTTTGTATACTTCTTGCAAAATATTACTGTAACAGAAGTTATTCTATACATTTTAGGATAAAAAGTTTTTGTCTCCACTGCCCATACCACTAATGATTGTCGGAAGCAAATACGACGTATATCAAGTATGTTTATGAATTGAAATGTCCATAGTTAAATTAATGTTTTTAATTTATACAAAATACCTACCAATAATAACTTATACTAAACGTAAATATTATTTTTAAGATGTACGTCTTACTTACTTCATTTTTTTATTATTGGTAACTATAGTTATATGATAACTATAATACCAGCGAGTGATTAATGATTAATTTAATAAAATACAATTTAATAATATACTAGATGATACAGCATTGTGTAACGTTAAATTAACTTGTAGCAGTGTCGATTAAGTAATCTAGCTTGTGATAAAACGGCGTAACACTGTCGTAGAAAAAATAACAGTAATAAGTTATTACTAATAACTAATAATAATAATATAGTGTAATAACTAGCGTTCGGGACTTATTTCACTAAATATCCTTAAAATATTTGATTAAAGTTCCCAACATTTGCAAAACTTTTCTGGTTACGTAAGCTTAACCGTCTCGATTTCGGTTTTTTGATTTCTAAGTTGTTCGATACTTTAAAATTTGAATTTACAATTATTTAAAATTTATTTACAATAGTTTTGAAAATATTAACATAAAGATGGGTCTTCACGCGTCTTACAAGAAATCATATATTAAATTTTGAAGCTTTTTGACCAAGCGAAAAATGTTTTATAAACATTTAGAGGTAAATAACTAAAAAAAATCAAAAGCCATCTTCATTTTAGTAATCAAGGTTGACAAATAATTATATTAAGATCTTAATAAATATTCGTATTAGATTCTAATCCTAGAGATCTAATCATAATACATCTAGGTATAGGACTAATGTTAAACGCCAGAAAAATAAATGTAAATTAATATTACCTTATTGATAGTTTAATAATTGAATGTATGAATTATTATTATAATAATTGTTTAACTTAACTTAAATATTTATTGAGTAATATTATGACTATTATTTAAGGCTTTAGCTGATTCCCATCAAAAGTATACCTTTCTTTTTTGCGCCAAATTCACTTTTCCCCTAAATCGTAAATTAGTGGATTCCCTTTTCAACAAAACTATACGATTTACTTTTACGCGATATCTTACAACTTCTAAAATCATTGTGACGAATTTTGTTAAATTTTAAACTGTTAGTACACTAACTATTAACAAAGTTACTACCTAAATTTATATTTTTAATATTTATTAACTGTTAGATTAGAACATGTTGCAACTATTATGACTTATGAGGAACCTTGTATTCAAATTGTAATCTTTTTCACTTATAAACAAAAATGAATCATACTTACATAATTATATGAATAAAAAAAATCGAAAATATGTATAATTAATTTAATAATTTATATTTTTTTTTAATCTATTTATCTAATTAATGATTGCCCTGCCTTCGTTATAGCTATACAATAATTCAATATTATTTAAATGCTATCTTATAAGTTTTTTGGAAAAGGGAATCCACCAAATTATGATTTGACAGAAAATGGAAAGGTATAATATATTATACTTAATATAATTTTCTTTTAGCGAAGTGAGTAATTCCCACTATTTATGATATTTTAGGCATTAAAAGAAAATAATACGACGCGTCGTGGTTAAAAAAAAAATATGTCGATAAATAGCCAATAGGTAGTTGGTAGTTCCTAGTTAGGTTCATGATGTCGCTCGTCGAACAATAACTAATAAGTCGAACGGAGCAATTGATAATTTAAATTTTAAATTTTTGGTATTATATAATAATTAATATGAACTATACATTAACATACTTTTCATTTATTATTGGTGTCGTTGGTATATTTTAATATTATGAAATGGCTTTATTTACGAATTATTGTTTATACTTTATAATATTATTAATGATCAACCTTGTTAGAATCTCGAACCTGCTAAAAAACGCGTGTTGTGCCAGTGTTTACGATATGTGGCACACACTTACGGAGCCTCGTTGATTTTCTATGGTGTAAACGACGCAGTTCTTGTGAAGATATCCAAAGAGATGATGTCACATTACGGGTTTGGAACACCTTATCCGTAAGTCGACTACAGGACCTTCAAGTTTTGTTGTACACGTTTTTTTTTATTAAATTATTATTTCAGAAAGAACCATATATACGATTCAAATAAACCACTCTTAGTGCCCGCAGGTTCCGATTGTTTTGACAAAATAGACAACCTCAATGAAGCTGGAAGTATTAGGTCAATGCATAAGTACAAGAGTGTATTTGCTTCTAATTTTAAACAGGTTGATAACTATTAATACGTCTAATTAAACTTATTAAAATAATTGTAGGAATTTTATTTACGATTTTATTTTCCGCTAAAATAGAATTATTTTAGCACAGACAAAACAATTCAATATCACCATCCATATTACATATTATGCGGTTATAGGTACATAATACCTATTCATTTATGTAAACTCTGGGTCGTTATAATATAGTATGGAGTTACTTATTTTCACACATAGATTTAGGTATCTACTATCTGTAAAGTGTGAAATGAAATCTTGCAGCTTGCTGCGGTTTTTTTCAGCTGATTGAAGGTGCCTTATGTGCTTACAACATTTAACAATAATATTTTTAAAATTTTATAACTTACAATTTGGAACATTTATATTTGATACATTATCATTGATGAGCAACATTTCTAATTTATAATATAATATCTTAAATTGCATAATCATTTGAAATAAATCTCAACAAAAAAGTAGTTGTTTATGGTTATAATTGAAATTTATTCCAATAATATTTTTTTGATTTTTGAAATTTGTTTCAACTTTTTGGTTATTTTAACATGAAACTCTCAGGGCACTCATAATATACTAAAAAACTGTATAGTATATTTATAAAATCATTATGCATACGTCGTATACACATTATTACAATGTGAATGGACCAGTAAATGATTTATTTGAAAGTCAAGGTTAGTGACCATAACATTACTAAAAAAGAGATTGTAGAATGTTTTCTAAAATAGGTATATAATCCCATTAATATGATATTATGTTGTGCGTCTTTTGCTATAAGAAAGTTACTCATTGTTTATGAAAATATGATGTTATAATATGCACCTTCGGAAGGTTATTGTTTGAGTGCCGACACACAGTTTTCCTATTGAAATAAAAGTGAAGGTACTATTATAGGCGTTTAACTGGTTTCTGGATATACCCATTAATCACTATTTAAGCTATAGTTCGTGTGCTTAAAAGACACATTATCAAAATGGTATAATCATCTAGTCGTCTAAAACAATTTGTATTTTGAAACAGCTTTTATGTAAAACTACGACATACGTTACTCATATAATTCTAATCTGGAAGTTATGATTATGAAATTGAAGATCACGATGGACGTATCGTACAGTTTATTTATTTTAAAATCTAATATTATATTATAAGAAAATATAATGTAATGTTCGTGTATAATATTATGAACGTAATATATCACAATAATTAAATAAACATCGAATTAGTTACATACGCACAACTATTGTAAATCCAAATGGAAAAAAAAGTGGAAAATTAGGTAACCAATCTGCCGTAAGTACAGTAGGTGTCGAGTTTACCTCGTCATTCTCTAAGTCACTGTAATGTATGTGTTTAATCTGACTTCAATGATTGATACATACAAATTTGAAGACCAGAAGAATAATAGTTTTGAATTAGAACAAAATAATTAATAAATTGTTACTCTTCATATTATAAATATCTAATTTCATCCAAATTTAAACTTCAAATGCTTTCAAAAAAATTCAGACCTACTTCAAGGACTTCTATGGTTTTTCTCAAAAAAAAAAATTACAATTAAAGTTACCTATAACACAATATGTTCAATATTCTATATTTCTATTTGTACTTTATTTTAATATCAGAATCTTAGCAAGGGGATCATAACAATATTCTGTTTTATCCGAAAGGCTCAGGGGTTACCAATAAACAACGTGATTTCAAAATTTTACTAATTCTGTGGTTTTATTTATGTTTAATGATACATTAACAATTCTATATAAATATCAATAAACGTCTACCATCTGACACAAAATTATTCCTTTGTAATAAATAAACACCAGATAGATCTATAATATAATAAATAAATAAATAATAATTATACTTATCCAAAATGTATTTTCTTAACATAAATAAAAATATTTATCATAATAATATATAGTTTGTTACATTGATAAATAAAAGTGTTTATCGAAGATTGGTTACTTTTCTATGTTGATTTTATTTATTTTAGACCTTAAATTATTTTTTACATTTTTAGATTTCATTAGAATCTGGCTCACACGCATCAAGTACAGATAATACAGATCCATTGAACGACCCTAATTACGCCGACCCGTTGATAGATGAATCGTTGAAAAAAAAACAAGAGGTTTGTGATAAACATATTTCCACGACCCAATGTACCTATAATATATTATTCAGAGTTGGGCCGGTTTTTATCTAAATAGTTATTCAAATAACATGTACGATGTACTCGAATAAAAAATTGTTTGATTGATTTTTTTACAATTAATTGAATAAAATATTTTTCAAAAAATTATTCGAATACGATGGTTTTTTTTTTAAATTATTCGGATAAATATTTTAAAATAATACGAAAAAATGTATTCGGTTAAATGTTATTTATATAATTAAAAATGTATTCGAATAATGCCCTACTCTGATATTTTTATAATATTGAGGTAAACCAGAATGGTTTTTGTGATTAAAACATATTTTAATTTTTTAGGAGCTAAAGCTGTTTGTGGACAATTACGAAAAGTTTTTGAACACTGAAAATACTAAAAACACTTCGTAACAACTAACAGGTATAAAACGTACAAAGAACAAAACAAAATAAGACAAGACGTAGGTAATAGGTACACATAAATATTATACATAAAATAATACACCTTACAGAATATAATTTAACATGTCGATTACGTTCAATCGAAACTGACGTGATAAAAAAATCGATGGAATAAATACAATTATATTAGAAAACAATATTGGTAACAAAATATCAATCATATTATTATATCTACTCGTCGGACGTTCTGTAGAACGAGCGATCGAATCGTTTCGCTTAAATAATATTATAATTTTATAATAATAATATTATGCAAGTGCAACTAGTCATCGTTGTTACAATATATTGCAATATATATAAACGGGTAGGTAGGTACCTGTGCTGCGCCTAAGTCTCATCGCTATGAGTACCTACTCGATGACGTGACTTGGGCCCGAGCACTATAATAATATTATTATGTATAAATAACTGTGATAACGACAAAACGGATATGTATATACCGCGTGACAAGTTCTTCTCGCCACCGAGGGAGGGGGGGAGGGGCAACTACCCTCGCAGGAACTTCTTGAAGTACAGCGGTATCTTTCGGAGCGGCTTGTTCATCATCCTCAGCTTGATGATGTAGTACGCGGCCAGCCTGAAGCAAACACTGAACAAGGCCAGCCCGATGAACTGGTTGACGATCGACCGGCCGCTCATGCCCAGGTCGCGGAGCAGCAGTTCCGGGTTCTTGTAGTGGCAGTACAGGTCATCCTCGGAGCATTCCATGTCGGCGCGCCCGTTGCCGAACAGCGAGGTGCTCACGCCGACCAGCGCGTACCTCAGGAAGCTGGTGGCCATCAGCGACTCCATGATGGGCTCGATGGCCAGCCCGTAGCCCATCCCGTAAACGGCCAGCGCGAGCATCGGCGCCAGCAGCGCGGGCGTCATCACGGCTCCGGTCTGCGCAAGTTGCGCGTATGAAACAACAGTTTTGTTTGTAATATATTTTATTACTATAGGTACATTTTCTATTAAAACTTAAAATGTCGATCCGGTGCTATACCGACTCCCGAAGTCCCGTACCCTCCTTTCGTCTATATCCTTACCCCCCTCCCCCGCAAGTCTTGTCATTCGTACCCTTTCTTTATCCCGCACCATCCTCGATGGACCGTGCGCTGAACGAACCTTTTTAGTACCCACTCTATATCGCTAAAACAGAGTCCCTTGTTAACCTATACCTAATCAAATAATAACTATAAGACTGCACAGTTTTTTTATGTATTTTTTTTTCTAAATGTTATATTATATTACCTATTATACTCTTTCCCACATTCACTGTAAATATGAATGTCTCTATACGCCTTTAGAATATTATATCAGAATAATAAACGCTGTAATTTGGCAAAATGCCATTATAGGAATTAAAATAAATAATTTATTTTTCCTAATGAGAATTACAATTCTTTCTTGTAAAATGTTAAGCAGATGACTTTTTTTTTTTGAAATATTTGATTGACTAATAGTAAAAGAACGTTTTCAAAAAAAATCATCGGCTAAACATTTTATTCAAAAAAGTTATTTTCTAAAAACGTAATTTTTAGAAAATACTATACATACCTACAACTAGGTATTCATATACATTTCTAAAATTTACAAATTATTCATTTTAAATTTTTGTTTTTAAACTTGTCAGTTGTCATTGTATGTATAATAGATTTCTAGTTTGGTCATCTATAAACCGAGTGCATAATATTATAGAACAATTATGCAACTCCTACAACTTCCTGCAAGCCCTATTAAGAATAGTGTTATCTATACGAGAATACCACTATATTTACCTTCGGTTACAATTGTCAATTATTATTTATTATCATAACCTATATAATCGCTATCGTTTACCTTTTAAGTGTTGTGAAAAATAATATTGTTATACTACCTATGCAAAATATATCTCAATTTTTATTCAGTTATTAATTTGAAAAAAAAAATGATTTAGAACTGACAATAACTTGCAGCTATACACTAATACATATTTTGCATTGCTTATTTTCTGGAACTCAAGTTAGTTTGATTAAAAATATATTATGAAAAAAATCATAGACATTTGATACTGAAAGACACTTTAAAACCGATATTTTTCCATTCGATACACGATTTTACTTTTTTTTAAATAATTATTTTGCTATATTAGTATATTAATACATTCGTATATAGTTTTAACTTACGGAATTTTTTACAGATGACCCGATGAGAACACCCAATCCTTCGGATGTGTAACCAGTAAATAGACCTATAGCCATAAACTCACTGAACCTAATCCACTCTATTGGTTGTGCAGACATAAAGTATACGATTAAAAGGAACAACGATCCAAATAACACCTGAAAGGAAATGTAAAAGTGCACAATGTAGGTAAATAAAAATATAAAACTAATATCTGCAAGCATAGATCAATCAAAAATATTTACTTACCATACTTGGTAATGATGTAATAGTGGATGCAAAGAAGTACGATTTGAGACTATACCAATGATTAAAGTATTCTCGCCGCAATAGTTTAACTTCCGACGGAACTATAATAATATGAAATAATTAAAACCAATAATCATATAATAATTAATTAATTAATAATATTAAACTGTTTACTTACAGTTAAGTACTGGACCCATGACGTGAGTATAAACAAAAAAAACGATTACACTGATACAAAACTTGAAATTTTCAAATGGTCGATTACCATCTGATCCAATTCCATAATAAATACTTCCAAGAAGCAATGCTGAGAATGTATGATGGAAAAAAGATATCCACAGCCCAGTCTGCATATAAACAATTAAAAAAATCCATAAAAATGGTAAAAACTAAAAATTCAAACGTGATTGCTTGTTTTTAATGATTCGCGTTGGGATAGAATATAATGATCTGGGATCAAAATAATGCGAAAAACTAACTATTTTTAAGGGGTTTTGTGTAGGCAATTCCAAGAATTTACTAATAAAAGGGTAAAACACTCAAGGGTTTAAACATGTTTCAGATAAGTTTCAACTTACGGTATTCCTACAGAATTGTTTCATTTTTCTTGCCAACAGTATAGAGAACTGTGTACCGAAAGATGACGGGTATTCTGCTTCGGATTGATCTAATTCTGGTACGTCATCAAAGACCGGTGGTAATGTAATTAGCGTGTCGGTACGACCTAAATAATAAGTTATGTATGAGAAATATTTCATTAAGAGTGTTAGGGTAACACTTACAAAGTTTGGAAGTTGCCATTCCATTTTCCATTTCGTCTAAATCGTCACATAATATTACTTTTCCATTTTGAATTTCTCTCGTTAAGTCAACTATTGTATCGTTGTCTAATACCTCGAAAACTGTAAAATTATTATAATATTTTAATATGTTATACTCTGTCTTACACTGAATTGTATATAATATGTAATAACACTTTACTGTTTGCCATAAACTGTACTTGAGCCTTCACGGCCGTTTATATCTTATAAATAAATAAATAATAAATACATAAAACATAATATCGTAATAGCAGAGAGCGAATTAATAGACAGTTGTCACAGTAGAACAGTAAAAAACTCTGTATACGTAAGGAGTTTAGCCAGCTGTGGTTAAGGCCGAATGTAGGTGTTGCTAATGTAGGTAATTTTGTTCAGAAAAATACAGTCTACGGAAATAATGATTGACCTCTTCTATAGAATCAACCAAATTTTTATTCGTTTAACACTAATAGTGGGTAATATAATTCTACAATCTACAGGCCACACTGAACTCTGTTTTCGATATATTTTAATCTCAAACTTTATAATATTATGTATTTGAAATTAAGATAATTTTAAACTATTATTTGAAATATAATAAAAGTAATCGGAGTTTAATGTGGCCGGAAAGAAGTCTTCTTTTTTTCAAATAGATAATTCCTCATAACTAGTTACAAACGACTAGTTATAAGAAAATACTATGGGTCAAAATATTTAACATTTAAAAATATGAACTATGAAGTACCTAGGTATACCTATCTATAGTAAAGTTTTGAAAGTATACTGTGAGCAACATTTTGTATTAAATTACTTATTTTGTTAATATAAAACAATAAGTCTAATCTATTGCCTACTCATTATGAAAAAGGGGACTGTATGAACTACCTATGAAAATCATTGTATTACATTTTAAAGTCTAAGCGATAAAAATTGAACATTTTATACATGTTTAACTACAAAATAATTTTAAAATTTTTTTTGATGAATTTTTTCAAATTTTGAACTTATGCTTTTTAAACTTTCAGCATTCTAAAATTAATACGCTAATTGTTTCTCTCAGAATCTAATAATGTGGACTACTGCAGGGGTAGTTTGATTGGATCTAGTGGAAGCAAAAGATTCGTTAGAAGTGACAAACGGTCTAAAGCTGTATACAACTAATATATATGCAGTGTTGTATAAAGACAACCAAAAAATCATCTAGATATGGTAATTCATTGAAATTATACTACTTGATAATATAATATTATAATATCACACTTACAATTTACATAATAGATACAATTTTACCAAATTGAATAAATAAAAAACAGATAATTTAATGACTTGCATATTTTGTAAAATAGCATTTTGGATATAAATATAATAATTGGTAAAATGTTAAATGTACCTATATGCATTATATATAAGTTAAAATGATTAGGTACAATAGTAAATACAATTGTCCATAGGCGTTTTAAGAAAATGAACCGATACACCGACTACAAAATAACTACAGTAAAACATACTTTATAAATATACATAAAAGAACTAAAAGTTAGTACATTGAATTAAAATCGAATAAATTGACTATAAGCAATAGCTTAGAAGTTAGAACGATTAATACTTTCCCAACAAAAGTAATTTATTTCAGATAACCATTTTATTTAAATGAATAGATATAAAGGGGCTTTAAATTATTTTTATCTGAATAAGTTAAAAAGATAAATAATAGATAATGCAAAACACCATGTATACTGTATAGGTAGGTTAAATAATATTATACCTAAACAAACATATAATTGATTGTTATCCAAAATGTTGACTGTCAGTAAATTGTATAAATGTTGGCGTTTTAAAATAATAAATAAGTAGATAATATTTATTATTGCTATATTTTTATTTTTTAAGTAATAATCGTATAGGAAAAACTAGTATATGAATTACAAGGACATTTACCTCAGTCTTAGAATTTAAAAAAATCCAAATTTGTTCGATTTACTCGATGTAATAATGAAACCAGTATATTACAATCATTGCATCTGGGATTTATTTAAAATGTATTTCTTTTTAGTCAATAAATTATAAACATTGCGTATGGTTGAGTAAAATATGATTAACATTCATCGATTCTCTATATTTAAAGCAGGTACAATAAGACTAATGAATTCAACTGGATTGACTGCGTTGACTGTATTTAAAAATCAAAGACTATAATAAAGGCGTTAAAAACCTTAAAATGTCAATTGTTGCAAAAAAGGTTAAGGTTTTCCCCCTGATCCCCTTGCACCTTCCACCACAGTACCATGCACAAAAGTTTTGTATTCGTTACTGTACCTATATTATGACCTATCACACGATTGAGTATAAAGCACCTTTACACGATTGAGAACATATTTATCGGCGTATCAAATTCTATAGAAGAAATACAGAAGAAAATTCTCGATTGAGCATTAACAATTCTGCGATGTTACCATAAGCCATGGTAAACAGTTTTGAACTATATTTTATAAACAATATTAATTTAAATCATTAGAAAAATACAAATATGGTACGAGTTAAAAATATTACGATTTTATCATTTTATGCAACGTATTGTTGACCCGTTGATAACAATAATAATAATAAATAAATAATCAGGCTGGGTTATTGTCTTTCGTGAAGTTAAAACTGTTAAATTTTTATACCTTGGTATCGATTTCAAATTTAACTTAGATGGAATAGTAAATATTCAGTATTTAAAATAATTTGGATATTGGTTGTAATGGCTTATTTATATTTTATTTATTTATTTATCAGTTGATAATTTTACAGAATTATGTGTTGATTTGAATTAATTTTTGTCAGAGTTTTCGTTTTGAGCAATACTTTAATAACTGAGTGGACATGAGGATGAGATGAACAAACTATAAATTATCCAAATCTATAAACATACAGAAATGTATTTTCTTTTCTCTGTCCATCTCCAAAAATTGCCTCATACAGAATATAGGATCCATAGTCGATCGTCCTGGCATAAGCCCAAAAAAATGAATTATACATTTCCAAATTTTGATTTGAATGTGGAGACATTGCATAAAATATTCTATGCTCAATCGTGTTTAAAAAACCTAAGTATTTATATAAGGTACTTTGTTGTGTTCTAATTAAGTTAAATACCATTACAATTTTGCTATCTATATAATATTACTGTAAGCTATATTTTGTGACACAACTTCTTTTTATGTAATAGGACACTTGTCCGTATATATTAATTAAAATAAAATAAAAAAATAAAAATATGCTCAACCATGTTCTACAGATATCATGAGCTGTATTATTTACAAGTACATATTTTTATCTAGATAATGGTAAAAGTTTAATAGCGGTAATCTATAAAAGATTCGTTTTAATTTAAAATATATATTATATATATTATTATATTAGTTGTACACATTAATATATTTCCTTAACAGGATAGGACGTTTTTATTATTTTTATTTCCATGTCAGCGTTTGAGTTAAGCCACAGATGTGCCTACTATAATACCTACATTATAATTATTATAGTATTATGGTTATTTATAATAACCAGTTATTGTCAATGAGGTATGTTTATGGTATGTTATTTGATTCTGTGTGTATCTAATGTGAAAATGCATGACGTCGAAGTCAGTTTTGTCAGATATTCGTGACGTAGGACAAGACATTTTGTCATTGAAAGTTTATCCGTTTTCGAAGAGCACCGTAGACGTGGCTGCAATCACTTATTGTTCTAGTCAAGTAAATACGTAATGTTATGTTTAAACTCGTCATATGTTTGCCAAATGCTAAAATGCCTATATATACATCCCGATCAGAGTAGGTACCACTTAGGAGGATTTTATATAATCCACCACGACTTTCTCCCTCAGTGGTAAAGACAGGATTAAGACAATTTTGGGCCTGGGGCCGAAAAATTTTAGGGACGTGAATGTGATAAAAATATTGGTACTTTACCCACAAAAAAATATATTTTAGAGATAAAAAAAATATATATTTAGATAGGTTATTTTTTTAAATACAAAAAATTTATTCTTGCTTTTTGAAAGCAAACTCTTAGATTATTTCATTGGTATTTATTATCCCCAAAATATTACTTTCAGAACACAAAACCGCAAAAAAAAATAAATAATTTTTCCTTTGAACTGCTTGTTCTAAACTTGTTTTTATATTATTATACAACAATAATTATTATTCCTATAACCTCCAAGTGTTCCACTATTCAAGTGAATAAGTTTCCGATACAATGGGTTCACTCGTGTTTTAGCATTTATTAATTCGCTCATATCAATCACACGTGTGTTTGTATTCAATTAAAAAAGTAAGAACCGGCCCTAGACTAACAACTAATACCTATAATAATAAAATCAGGGTTCGGATTTGTATACTCACACGGATAATCAATAATAAAATATAATTAAATTATGTTTGCGGCACATATTTTGGCTGTTTCGCATGCGTTTTTTTAGTGCTCACAAATCCGAGCCCCGAGCACGTTAATCGAGCATTATGTAATATAATAATATTTTAACCGGCCGAACCATACCGAAATCTGCTGGGTTGTGTGTGGGCTTGCAGACGTGTCCGACCTGCGCCAGGAAAGGCACCAATTGTTTTGGCGACCCATTGTAAATACAAGAGCCCCGGGCCAGCATGTACACGTGGTTGAACATGTGAAATAACGACGAGCTGGGCTGGTGTATGGTGCACACCACTGTCCTTCCTTGTTTGGCGAGATCGACCAACAGGGAGACGCACTGCTTTATCGCTACAATGTCCAGCCCACTATATATGATGCGGAGGAATAGGAAACACAATTTGTTATAATGTTATATTAATATTATGCATAGCAATAATATGAAATCATAATATCGTACGATAAAAAAATATGATGATATATAATATTATTATCGTTGTTATATCTGTATAAAAATAGGTTAAGGACACACGATATTTTCCGATTTCCGACCTTGACAATCAAACTTGTTTTAGCGGTCGACTGAATATTTATGGATTAGTTTATATATAATGAAAATATTACATGTATTATATTTACTATATTATAATATATTGCGGACTGTCACTAGAAAGCTGTGTGAAACGTGTTCTGTATAGGTGTTTCTACTGCAGAGCATGCGCGTGTATACTTACACGTCACATATTATTATAACAACCGCGACTGTATCCGCGTATACTGCAAAAATGGTATCTAAAAGACTTCCACACTTTCTAGTCATCCTGTACATAATAATATGTAAATATAAGCTGCTTCGATCTTTGCGCAGACATAATATAACACTATATTTTCGCGGACTGCTGCAGTTGGTCGCGGATACACTGCCGCTCATATACCTAATAGCTTGTAATAAGTAGGTTACAGTTGGAATTTGGCACGACCTTATCGCGAGACATGCAACTCGCCGAACTTATATTGCAGCCCACTATTATGTCCTGATGGAAACATTGTAAGTCTCGGGTGAAAACATTCGATTGATCATAAAAACTCAGCACCGCGGTGTAGAATATATACAGCTGCGGAGATTGTTTGCAAAATGATAATATTATTATGATTTGTGATGAATATACTCACGTGGTGGGTTCGTCTAGAAATATCACCGGCGGATTGTTGACCAACTCGAGGGCCACGGATAGACGTTTGCGCTGACCTCCGGATAATTTCTCCACATATGTGTTACGACACACCGATACCCCTAAGAGTTCCAGCACCTCGTTCACCTGCAGCACATAATTAATCACTTGTTTAGTGTATGTTTAGCTCACAAATGAATGTACCGAGTAAGGGACCATGCGGCTAAGCGTTACAAAGGCTGGTCCAAGGTGTAATGTGTTACGATGGAAATATAACTTCGATTACAATGTCGTTAAATCCTGCCGAAAAACGTTTAAAAAATAAGTTACTTTAATTTGGTTTCTTTGGACATTGAAAACCCATTTAAGATAAGTTTTCCTAATTCGTTACTACATATGGAACTATAGTTGACAACGTTATTTTACCATAATTATTGTCTTGTGTGGAATGGTCTTTGCATTACATCTAAAATTGGTTAAAATATATGATTCAGGGAAAATGAATAATGATACAACCACAATCAGATTTACATTAAATTATAGTCAAATACATATTTTCAAGTATGATAATGGTAATAGATTACAAATTAAAAACAAACTTAGTTACAACATGGCAATATGTTTAAGAGAGAGCTGTGGAAGATATTATTATTCAATAATTGATAGTAATAATATGACATACCTAGGTGCGGTTAAAAAAAATAATGTTAATTTTATATTACATTATTATACGCATAGTACAGGTAGGTACTCGTCTTACTCAATTAAACAAAGGAGAGGTATTGATAATGACAACGGAGAAGTGATTATAATAAATATATATATATTTTTTTATTCGCTTTATTAATAGTTATTTTAGTTTTATGATCAAGTGTAACGATTTATCTCAACTAGGTACTGTAGCATATCACCCCGACCTATGTTACGGTTTATGTTTCTGTTTACATTGGTTTTCATTTACCTCTATTAACTGTTTAGTTTTATTATAATTTTGAGATAATTGAATTGGTTACCTATACATACTTACATGTTTGTTCATTATACTAAGAAAATAATAAAGGATCTTGCTTCATTGGCTGTGAGTATCTTACAAAAAAGTAAAAAATGCATCATTTAGCCCTATTTCCCCCTTGACTATACCTTTACGGCTTAATCTTTACCTAACACATAAATATGTATATATTTATTTATCTGAACTAACTATAGTTAGTAGTCACGATTTATAAATAACGAAATCAATGGCGAGATAATATAATATAATATATTACATAATATATTTATATATTATATTGTATCTAATTGCCTATATCTGCTTACGTAAGTGTATGTTTAGTGTATTATAATAACTAAATACTTATCGAGGCTATTTCCCGTGTGCTATCCACCATCGTAAACGTCCAATATATTGTCAAAATGTTAATATCCGCATTCGGATCGAAGAAATACAAAATTATAATGTGGTTTTATTGGCATTGAGTAAATACAAGGTTTTAAAATATCAAATAATATAAAAGTTAGGAAATTATTATGTTGTACTCCAATATATCATGTCTGAGGCCGTATATTATTTAGACTTTGGTCGGGTTATTGTCAAAAATTGTATTATTTACATTGATGTTTAAATTATTATTAAGAATTTTTAACTAGAAATTTAAAAGTCATAGAAATGTAGGTGCACCAATCTATATATTTTGTAGCCCCGTTCTTACAAATGATATAGGCTCTAAGTGATAAACACTAATCTTGAAATGTATTAGTTTTTTTTGCTACATAATTTGAACTATTTTGAAACACCCAATTTATTGTAAAACAACCTACTATTATTTCTTGAAAAATAAATGTATCATTATTTTAATTGTATATTTATAAGGAGGATAGGTGCATATATGTTTTTGAGAATTTTTTATGAAAAGTTAATTAGGTATAGCAATTTAAAGTAATACATCTCAAATACTTTTTTTTTTGAAATTGTGTGGTTATGACTGCTACCAGTTATAGAAATTACATTCTCGTTAAATAATTAGTGAACTATAATAAATACTGAAACTAAGTCCATTACATATTTTAATATGTGAGTACTTACATAATAATATTATAACTACTATTTATTGTATTAAGTGTAATATTGAATAAATTGCTTATAATTTCCATGCATGCAGAGATTATATGCTTATGTATAGCTGGCACTTGGAACATTTTTTTTAACCTCTAACCTCTAAACCCTCTAACAGTTTATGTAACCAGGAAAAATGTAAATTACGCTCGATACTGCTGTTTGAAGATTTTATATTATTATGCTCTTAAATATTTACCTATGTTTAATATGACTGTAAAATGTAATATAATATTATTTAAAAATATAAATAATTTTAATCTTTAGTTTTTATAGGTCTTTCTTCGAACGGAAATATCCTGTGGGTAATTTACGTTATAACATATTATATTATATTTATATCGTACATAAATACGTATAATTCCTTTACGTCACGCCATGATACACCTACATAATGTATTAATATAGTTGCCATTAATTACGTAGAGCTCTACTGATCAGATGTTGTAATATTTTTCTCAGTGATGCGTCCGCAGGAAAACACGGTAATTATCATTAGTTTATTACGAATGTAATTTTGTTTGTCGATCTATTATAATATAGGTAACAACACTTTGGTGTCTAAGTGTATAATTAAGATAATACACAGGTAAATTAAATTTACCGAGTAAAAGTCATCTTTACCATTTGTTTCGTTTTTAATGTTTTTAATTTTGTGTGCAATTAAATTTAAAGTTGGAAAAAAATACTTTATAGGTGTGTTTAAGGTACTTACTATGAATTTATCAAAAATGAAAACTCATGACTTTGTAATAAATTCGCAAATAACTGTAATGGCAAATTTGAATTTTTTTTATAATTTTTAATTTTATTGTTCTTGATACTTCACTACTAATTTTTTTATTATTCAAAATATAGAACTATTAAGTATAATATATTATTAGGTAAACAATAATATTTTGAATTATTTAAATACTATTTATTTTGGTGAAAGTTACGATTTGGCCCTAGTAAGTGTAGAGTTCTATAACTTGTATTAAAGAATGTTTCAAAAACAAGCATTCATAGCATTTCTACTTAGTTTATCCACTCCATAAAACGTTTAATAATCATGGTAGACACGTAATTTATATGGTTAACGATAAATAGCTTACAATAATATTGAACATTTAAAATCAAATTTAATTTTAAACAAATGATTAATTATATGTACTTATACATTGTACATTATAATATGTACTATGTATATATTTATTTTATTTTTATTTTTATTTATTCTTCAAGAAGATAATGGTCCTCATAGAACATGTTCGTGTGGGGGTCCAAAATATACAATAATAATTAGTAAATATAATGATAAATATTAATAAAAAATAAATAAAATAGATGAGTTTTAAAAATTGATAATCGTAAAAGTAAAATAAGCTAAACACGAAAAATATTTTCATAATAACAATTTTGTTGAACTTGAAACAAAATATCAGCACCCAGAGCATCAAGTTAATTAATGTATTAACGATTATTTAAATGTTATTAAAGAAAAATAGTTTTAAAAAATAATTACTCAGGTACCTACATCAGATATGTGGTCATTTCACATTTATCAAGGCCCATTTCAAAATAACATCACAATTAATTTAAGTAATGCAAACTAAATAAAGTACATGACGTGTCCATTAGTGGCCGATGAAATGTACAAAATTTTGAGGAAATGAAATAGTTTACGCAGAATGATGGTCATTGCTCATTAAGTGTTCTTACACTTCACTCAATCCTCACTGATATATTATTCACTATTTTTATTATTATAAATTATAAATTGTTTTATGAATATAAATGAATATTTTTATTGATGGTAATTTGTATATTAATTTTAATAAATTTTGCAAGTATCGTTGAATGTATATAAAATTATTCACATAGGTACCTACTATATGAGCATCATATTGTTGGATTTTAGTGACCGTTCTAAAAAGTTTAAGTAGAATAAAAAAGTATTTTACATCAGATTTTTTTCATGACGTGAAAATAAAATATCTACTCACTTTTAAATATGTATATTTTTTTACCGTACAGACCTAACTCAAATTCTCAGTTTGTGCCTATCATTATAGGTTATAAATTATTTTTTTTTTAACAAGAACAACTAATTGCATTTTCAAATAAATCAATTTGTAAAATAAAATACAAGTAACAAACTGATGAACTATATAAACATTGTGCCGAAAAATCAAAACATAATAATATTATACTATTTAGTGTTTGAAGTATTTTTTTTAACACAAATAAAGACACAATTTATTTATTTTTTCAGTGTTCTCAATTCTAATGTAAGAATACAGTAGGTATACAATATACATGTACCTATAATATTGTATACCTACTTGTATCATTTAAATAAATTAATTTGAATACCAAATACAGTTACCATACAGTTATGAAGGTAATTTATGACAATTATATGTAAATATAAATCTTATTTAAAAATAAAACAAAATTTATTAAAATACTGAAATATTTCACTAGTTTGAAATATTTAAAAATTTTAAATTTCATGAAATTTTCAAACACTAATTATATTGAGATTACAATTATCGGGCGAATATAGGTACCTGATCCAATCAGTATCATAAAATTAGGCTTATTCACGCTTAAAATATTCGAGATGTATATTACCTAATTATTTCCCGGTAAACTAATTATTTCGACCAACGAGTTTCACGCGGTTGTGGTCTTAAAGTACTTACTCTACTGTGTATCATGAATATTACAGAACCAAAGAGAAAATAAACTTATTTTTGCATATTCGTGCATTATTATAAACATAAACACATTATTACAATTATCCACTATTTAGCGCGTGTTATTGAGGTACTAAAGCCTGCAGCGTCCGTTTTGTATCATACTTTTTTTTTTTTTTTACTTGTACCTACCCACTACCTTGGTAACCCAACCTAACCCACTATTTATTAGGTTCCATCCGTGATAATGTTTTGACTACGGCTATCATAGATTTCATTAAATCCCGCAATCAAATTTCTATCCGGATTTTGGTGGCAATATCACCTAGGTATATGTTAATTATTATAATCCGCAGGTACAGCATTATTTTCTATATAAATAACACGTTTCATAATGCTATCCATATAATATAATAATATTATGTACGTGCAGCATGGGTCAAGGCAATGGTTATAGTCGTCCTTAGATCGAAAACGGGTATCCATCTTATATAGGCAACGTTGCTTGCGAATTTACTCTAAATGTGTGTACATATACCTATATATGCATATTGCGCTTTTCCTTGGTCAAATAAGATTACACTTTTACAACCATCGCGATACTATGATAAGCAATTGTCGATTGCCGAAGAAAAGGTACACACGAGTTGTGTAACGTATATATAGATAGGTAACTACCAGTTTTTTCACCCTTGAGAAAATAATCAACACTATAACGACGATTGAACAAATAGGTATTGGTAATCGTTTTTATTTTCATTTCGACACAGTAAGTTTTATTATAGGTACTTACTTGGTTTTATTTAAATTATAATTTTTTTTAAATTTAATTTTAACGTTGTCATCGTAAGGTCGTATTTAGTTAATAAATTATATTATACATATTATACAGAAAAAAAAGAGTATTATGTTTTGTTTTCAATACCATCAATCTATTGAATTGAAAATGATCATGGAATTTATATCGGTTATATACTGTATTTATTTTGACAATGGAAATGATTTCATTTATGCCTCTATAAATGCTTATATTATGTTTGGCGTGCATAACTTAACTACAAAAATGAGTTATATATTATGATGAAATTTTAACATTTAATCGTCTGACTTACGTCACAACAATTGTTATAATGTATTACCTAGGTTTGTAAATGATAATAATATACATATAGTTTAGTTTTAATATCATATACTTACAGCTTTATCTTTGTCTTCTTTCGATAGTTCACTGCCAATTTTTAATCGAGCTGCGTAACTCAACGATTCTATAACTGTAAGTCTGGGTTGGAGCAGATCTTCTTGCATTATGTAACTGGAAAGTTTTTTGAAAAGTTGCATATTCCTGGGATGACCATTTGTAAGAATTTGTCCTTTGATGTCACTTCTCCTAAATTAATAGGGGTAAAAATATTTATTTTATACATTCTGAACGATTAAATCAAACTGATTTAAATACGGGTTTTTAATTTTTTTGTTTAGTTGATAAATATTTTATGTATAGTTAGTATAAAGGTCAAGAGGTATTAATTGAGTTTTAGGTAATTTATAATCTTATGTTAGCGTTTAAGCGTTTAACCGTTTTCGACAGGGGTATTTCAAAATCAAGAATATTATCTTTATCATTTCAAATTAGTATTCATAGACCTTGAATTTGGTTTAGGTTACGTTGGTTAACCAAATAGAATTTCAAAATTTTTTAAGTAGGTACTCACTAAGAAGATAAAAAAATATATTTATTAGTTCTTAGTAAACAAAATAGCAGTTATAACTACGAAAGTTCTACGTTTCTTGAGGTCTAATATGACTACTTTGTATATATTATAAGATACCTATATAACTCGGTATGTTTATATGGTTACAAAATATATTAAATCAGGAAATAAAAAACTGACCAAAAAAATAATTGATTTCATGTTATAAATATTGTTAAATTTACTAATCAAGTACTTATAATACACGCGTAATCCAATAATAAGCGACGCAATGGATTATTGATTGGTCCTTGGTCGGCTAATGTGAACGCTTAACACTATCATAATATAGGATTGTGGCCATAACTATTTTTTTTCTTTAGGAAACGAACGAACGGCTGACGACCTACAGTTGGTATCAGACGAACAAACCACATATTAAGCATAGATTTCAATGCAAACAGGAAACTTACACGTATCCAGCGAGTATGTTCATCAGCGAACTCTTCCCAGCACCGGAAGGACCCATAATGGCTGTCAGGTGTCCCGAACGAAAGAAACCGTTTATGCCTTTCAGTATTGTTCTCTGTCCTATAACATTGAAAAATAATATATAATTATATGCTAAACAAACATGATTGAGTTCTGTAAAATATTTAAAAACAGCCTAGGGTGATAATATATTTAACATAAAACACTCATTATTTCAGAATATTAATTTGTTAATTAAGACCGAGCTGCAGAATAAATTAGGTTAGTATTGGAGTATTGGCTGACTATTATCTGAATTTTTTTTTCCTACATTAAATTGTGCTCTAAAAATGTCACATAGCATCAGTGGTGTACCCAGGATTATTCAATGGGAGGGGCTTGAAATATATTAAAATTTTATTTTTATTTTGTCCAGTCTAATAACTGCAGACGTTTAGATGAGGTATTTGAAAATGTTTGTACAGCTTCAACTTCTCGACTTTTCTAGTAGAAAAAATGCTCTGACCATAAACTTCAATGGAGGTTTTTGGAAGCAAATTGGATCTAGTGGGAGGTACTTTTGGGAGGTAAAAATAGAAAATTCTCAGTATTTTTTAAAATAATCAGGAATAACAAAAATAAATGAAAATTTGTTAAAACTGTTTGGTACCTAACCCTGACGAGACCGTCTTCACTTGGATTGCATATTTTGCTTAATTTTAGTTTTTTTTTCTAAAAATGTCAATAAATAATTATTTGTTTGGTCAAAAAGCTAAAATATTTAATACAAGGTTCATCATAAGTTCTTATTATAGCTATTTAAAAACATTAACAATACATATACCTAGGCAAGATTATTTTTTATAATCATTTAGAGTTCAAATTTTGACAAAACCACAGTTAATTTGGAGTTCGAAATGTATCAAATATTAAATTTGTATAGCTAAGGCATGGAAAAAGTAACAATAATACTGGCAATGGGGGGGGGGGGTGGGGGCATCAGCTATTTGCTACCTTTTGACCTGGCGTTTGAGTACAAGGTTATTTGTATATATCCACGGAAAATATATTTAAAAAGTCTAGAATACTTTTGTCTACATTGTTTTATAGACGCATTAAAAATAAAAAATGTCCTATCCATGAACTAGGTATCTAATAACTCACGAAGGTCTAATATTGTTGTTTTTCGTAGTGGGAATACACTTTTATTTAGTTATTAAATCTGTTTCGGTCAATTTTAATTCACAGGCCTTCAATTATTCTATGAAATAACATAGATAGTTGTTAATATTACATTTTAAAACAAATCGATATATAATTTATAATAGGTAATTATAGGTAATTTGTAAAACAAAATAATATTAAGACGATGTTATAATATTAAATACGTAAATAATTATTCGTATATTATATAATGTAAAAAGATTGAAAAGACTTTTGATCATTCTTCGCATTCTCAGAGGCGGAGCTAAGAATTTTTACGCCCGGGGAAAATATTAAAATTACTAGATCCAATCATAGACCAAGATTGAAAATATAATATCATTCCCTACAATTGTTTTATAATAACTGGAACTAAAATTACAAACATACTTATTGACTTTTAAACACATAATAATATATTCCTAATAATTAATATAATTATGTGGACTGTGGTGTAAGTTTATACTAATATACTATATAAAAAAAGATTCAGATTTAAGTGATTAACAAATTTTCAATGAGTTGGACTAACCCACCTGCGATAGCATATACGTAAATATTTTTCAACATTTGATTTTCCTAACCAACTTTAATTGGATTAATGCTTTATAGATGACTTAAAAGGACATAATTTATACATAAAAAATGAGCTTATTATTTTCTTTAGAGTAGATTTTATAAGAAAAAAAATTGTTGAAAAATAATCAAAACTTTAATTACCTGTCCTGTATAAAAATTATAAACACTTTTGCTGTTTTGGTTCTATGCTAATCAGCCATCAATGATAATAGATTTTTATGGTGAAATATAAAATCTTTTATTCTGATTGAGGTACACAATTTAGGCTAGTAAAAATTGTATTTAATTAAACAATTTATAAAAGAAAAAAGAAAATCTTTTTTTTAAACATAAACAAATGTATTACCATCTTGGTAAATATTATAAACTATTAACATCATTTTTATATAGGTATAATATATACGTATCGTACGTTGATTGATAATCTTATAGCAGTTATTGTGTAGGTATCAGACATTTTAACGAAAACACAGCATCAATAAGTATTAAGTGCCTAGGTAGTTACTAGTTACATACTTTCACTTAGAATCTTAATAATTATAGTATAATATTAGTTGTATATACCTGCAGTAGGTATGCTAATGCCAGTATACCAGTATACTTAGTACACTAATACGAATCTATTCATAATCTTACCATTAACTTTATTTTTTGTTTTTCATTCCTTCGAACGTGGCCATCACCACAATATCATAAACAAATTATGTGAAATAAAAATGTTTTCTTAACTTCTATCACCAAGCATAAAATAAAGACCCAAAGAAAAATTACGCCCACTAAAATGTTCAATCCCCGGCTTCACCTCCCTAGTTCCGCCACTGCTCATACTTAATGTTACGAGATACTAGACATATTATTATAGTTATTTCTAAAGTACTATTTAATAATTATTACTACCTACTTTCAAACTAAAAACCTACATAAATAAATCGATGAATGTAATATTATGTTTTATAATATGAATATTGTGCTGCATATATTTTCAATTTTTTTCTTTTTGTAGTCAATTACTTGTAGAATTCAATGAAAAAACCGGGAGAATCATATAAATTGTTCTCATAAAAAATAGTAATATTGGTAGCTTGGATCGTATTGAAAAAAAAATATGTAAAAGGATAATATTTTATAATTAACTCAAATGAAATGATTATTTGTTTTTCAAGTTAAATGTTATCACCTTGTATAATATTTACACAGTAATAATTAATTAATTAAATTTATTTTATAAGCAAACTTTTAATAACAAAAAGTAAAGTGTATAGTAAATAACGAACCCCCCAAAAATCGATGAATCGTAATTTAATATTATAAAATTGGTAAGAATATGTTTTCTACCTGGTTTTAAAACCAAAATAATGTAAACATTCTGATCAGGGTCAGCATGATAATATTTTGTTTTAAAGTAACAAAAAACCACACATTTAAATATATAATATTTGAATTCTGATTTATTATTTTTGGTGGTCATATTCATTATAATAATTTATTAATATTATGGACATTGTTCAGCTACCTACTTTTTATGTCAATAATAAAAATCATTAGTTTTTGATACATCACGTTATCTTGTTTAACTTGAAAAATATAATTCTATCTTTTGTACCTAACCATTTAAGGTAATATTGTTGGCATAAAATAATAAATCTTACTGAGTTAATGAAATGCGAGAGAACAATCATACAACTCAATGATTATTAATTAGTATATAGGTATATAATAATAATATACTAAATATGTTTTTAACATTAGAATATTATTAATTATTAATTATCTTGAAACTTTCGAATTTTTGTTTTCATTTACATTTTGAAGGCTTAAATTAACAACATAATATGAAATGATATTTTCTAAAAATGAAAATGACCTGTCTCTAATAAAAATATTTGTAATATTTCTCGTTTGAATGTTGACAGGTTAGGATTTAATAGAAATTCAAATTTCGCTAAATTAAAAACGTACATAGACAATAATGTAATATATTATATTTATTTGAAGGCATAACAATACAGATAAAAATAACCACACATTATAAATGTAAAAGTATAAACTCGACAAAAAGATGGTTAGAGTGATATTTATATCGTTCCAGTATAAATCCAAGGTCGAGGGCTCTATAGAGAACTGGTTTTCAGATGGTAAGTGTTTATTTTTTTAAAACCAAGTAAATTTGCACATCAACAACTATCAATGAAAAAAAATGACATTCTAGCAATTCTAATCGTATTGATTTTTTTTAATTATCTGCGAACTATAAATAAAGATTGTTAATAGCATTATAATATATGTATGTATATGATACTATGTTGGTACTTATCAAGGGGATAGTTAAATAGGTACACCATAAAGGTATTACCTACTATACATACGCATTAGAACGATAATTAATCGATTTGTATGAATACAAAAATCGTAATTAGCCTACAATTAATTAAAATACATTATTGAATATTAATATGTAATTAGAAAGTAATGATTGCAAATTATTGGTTAAACTCATACATATATTATTTTTAGAAATAAAATATTGCTTTAAGACATAATGATATTTTTTTAATAATTTCTGTTTAGTTAGATATTATTAGATTATAATATTATATAACTATTAGATGAATCAATACAAGTTAAAATATATTGATTCTTTGATTTTATTAAATGTATGATGTATTTTAATTTTTAAGTACCTACTACCCATACATATTATTATCTTTGATTTAGGATGTACATAATTATAACAAATGTCATTATTATTAAGTAATTATTAAAACAATAACTATCATTATCAATATAATAGGCTTGATAAATGCATTTCGAATTACTAAACGCTTTTTCAAAATTCTACCTATTATACATAAATCGATAAATTACAAATTTTAAAATCGAATGAATCATACCTAGCCTATTATGTTTAGATTGCGGTCTGCCTAAACCATTAAATACTTATACATAGAATGAAGTTCTGACCTGTCTGTAGTATAGGTACCTTTTAAAAAAATTAGTAATTTTTTTATTTTGTGGAAAAATAATTATATGGGTCTTAAATGTTAGTGTTATTCGTATACTATTAAGTGGAAAAGGAAAAATTATTCAAGGACACAGCAAGAACTCAAATTATATGTACCTATATTATACCCAGTTATTGCAGTACCTATATTAGAGTTACAATTTTAACTTTATTTTAATTTTAATATATATATTGAAATAAATCTACAATCTACAATCATTAATTTTTGTACAATAAGTAGGTTTGATAAGTGAATAATAAAAGGTTAAAATAAAACGTGTTATTAGGGAGGATACCCAGTGGAACACCCTATAATATTATACCAAACAGGTACGTATAATACAGAATTAAAATATTAATAGTATCGATATATTTAAAATACTCCTTATGTTTAGTTGGTAGATAATAATATTGATATTAATCAAGGCATAAAAGTATCAATATAAGAATATAATATGGTAGTCTAAATGTCTAATAAAGACTTGGATTAAAAAATAACAATATTGTAAGTAAAGAATAATATTGCCCATGTAGAGATCTCATTCATATGTTGTTTTATTACCTATCCACCCAGGTAACGGTTTAAAATTACTATAGAAAATTGCAAAAAAAAATTATAAGTAATTCGTCATTCGTAAATTAAAATTGTTGAAAAACGATGTATGTATAAGATTTTGATTATTTTTTCGGTATATTGGTGATTAAATAAACTCTACAAACATCATAGTCGAAAATAACAAAAATTATCAAATTCAAGCAGTATTTGGGGAACAAGTCTTTAATTTTTCAATTTTTTTTTTTATACATTTTGATTTTTAAAGAACCTTAATAATAGGTTTTTAGTAGATCATTGTAACTGTGTGATTATTATAATGATGACCGCCTGACAACAATTACGGATATAATTTCTGGTAATGAAAATACAATATCTATCAATTACTATTTTTACTTTCAAGTATAAACTGTCACTTCAGACACTTCTTTATATACCAAATAGAGAAAAGTTGACGAAAACTAGAAGAGAACAGAGAAATCTTTTATTACCACTTTCGAGCAGACACGGTATAATGCCTCCCAAAATACTGTAAGTTAGTTACCATCTTGGTAGACTTCGTGCCAGTCGTGGAATTGTTATTCTCTATTCCTGTCGCAGATTTGTCGGAAAACCGAATATGTTTCTGTTTTGTCAGGCGTAATGAAATTACTATACTAGAGATAAAAAATTAGCTAACTATTTTATTCAGAAAAAATTGTGGACAATACGTAAAGCTATTGTTACCTATAGGATTTTAAACAATGGTAATAATATTCAACATACCTAGACGGGTCAGCATGTAAATATCGTCATCATAATAATATTATTGACACACGTCATGAGTGTACTGCACGTGATGTATAACAGACAAGGCTGTAATATCAAAACGTATAAATTTGAAGTGCAAATTGTTTTATCTGATTAAAATGTATGACGACCGTAAATGTATTTTACAAGTTGAATCTTTTTGTGTTAAAATTATTTAAAATTAAATAAAATACCTATCTATATGGACTTATTATGTTCAAAAACGCGAAAAAAGTGTTGTAATACGAGTTGGTACTATTTTATAATAAAATGAAATAAAGAACAATCCTGTATAAAATATAACGTAGGTCACCCTAATTTTAACGCACACCAACATTGTATAATATACTTGTAGGTACCTACCCAAACCACAATATTAATATGGTTTAACATATATTTTATTTCACACTGTTTATTTTTGTGTTCAACTATACAGTACCTTTATATACGTACTAACCTTCAGTATATGATGCTGTGCAATGAATTGAAAAAAAAGAAATCCTTAAAAGTTTATGTATAGAAATGTGTTTAGAAAGTTTGTAAATTGACTAGATAGTTGAAATTAATCTTAAAAAAGTTCGGTAATTTCTTTCATTTAGAAATAGATTGTTCTGTGTAAAAAATAATACATACAAATAATGTTCGAAACGTGTATAGTTTATTGATTTGTGATTCACTTGGTTTGTTACAGTTCAGTTTTAGAATTTGTTTTTCAAGTGAAACTCGCTCATATTAGAATTTTAATCAATTTTCAACCAAAAAAGTTTATTATTATGATTTTGAATATTTATTTACGTAATTTTGAACATTATAATAATATAGCGGACTCGTTAATGTTGTAATTTAGGTACTTATTGTTAATCGATGATAAATCTTCATAATAATATGTTATAGGAACTTAATGTCATCATCATAATGGTTTTCTTTAAAAGAAAAACATGTTGGTGTATAAACTTAAATCATATAGTGAAAAATAGTTAGGTACTGTTTCACTAAACTGTTTATCTACCTAATGTTAAACTAATTTTGGGTGACAAATACTAATAAATAATAATTAATGTGAAATTTGCTTGTTAATTGTTGTTAAATCGAAATGTTTAATTTATGAAAACATTTTAAATTGTCAATAAAGTAGCATAATGTATTTATTGCGTGTTTTACATTTACACATACGTGATATTAAATACGATTATTTCGTTTCACTTTTGTATAAAAATTAGCTCAATTATTAGTTATACTATAGGTATCTATTATATAGGGTTTTATTCGAAAGTAATTATATACCTTTTAATTACCTATAGTTAGCATACAGGGCTGTAAAATACGATTGAGAACGGCATTGTTGGTAACACAATTGAGAACGCTCGATATTTTATTTTTTTTTTCAACGTTGCCAAATTTAATCGAATGATAATATAAGCACGATAACTTGTTGTTATTGAATTAGCAATATTATATTATGTAAATTGCTATTAAAATTCTAACTGAAACTCAAGCAGAAACAATATTGAAAATAGCTACGGTAGTTAGAGTCAAGGTACTAAGGCCATTGCCATAGGGTCTTAGATGATCTAAAAATGTTAGTAATTATTAATGATCTAGGTATCAATATAAATAATTTATACACATGATTGAAGTATGACGAATACTACCTACATCTAATATTACATATACCATGTTTATATTTTTGTAAAGCCATATTTAAGGATTATTATCCTTAGTATGAATATTTTAATTGTTTTAAAAATTATTAATTGATGACTTTTTTCAAGAATATTTATTTTATGCATATGGCATGATTTTTTCAATAGTCAAAAAAATGATATGGCAACGTTGCACGTAATTTCGTTCTCAATAGTATTCTTTTGGATTTTTGGGTTAGGTAAGGTTAGGTTAGGTAAGTTCTTCGTTATTTTTAAGTGTTCTCAATCGTTTGGCCAAAAAGGTATAACGTTCTCAATCGTTCGATAGCCATACAGGGATGTACCCAGGGAGGAGGGGTTTGGATGTTTAACCTCCTCCCCTCATTTTTTCTCCTGATAAATGTATTATTTATAAACGAAAACTGTAAAAAACTTGGTTTAATTTATACTTAACTACCCTCCCCCATTTCGTAATCCTGGCTACGCCACTGTTCACATAATATAGGTAGAGTTATCATGCTATCGTATAAAATGTTATCTTTGCGAAAATATTACTATGTTAATATAAGTTTACCATAATAGTTTATGACTAAAGGCTAATAAAAATTAAAAAAAAAAAATAAGTGCAATAACGGGACTTCACTTGCAACATTAATATATTATGTGACGTCGACTATCTCATCTTATTATTTTTTTAAATACCCACATGCAATATAATATACCTCTTAATCGATAAATATATCTGATTAAAATGTTCTAACGGTTATGCGATACAGGTACGACGGTGATTCCTCGATTTTATTATATGAACCCGTACGTCATGTCGTTAACGTGATGTAACAAACAATAGATATTTCGTTGACACCGGTGTTTGAAATTTCTCGTAGGTATATTGTTACCGCGATCACCAGCATTATATGTTAGAAATTTCTATTGAATAATAATTATCTAATTTTTTTTTTCCTAACGCGACGCTTATAACACGCCGGATATATAAGAATAATAATAATATACAAATTATTATTATTGTTATTATTTATTGACGGTTTTCGATTGACGTTGTACTTCCGAGATGGGGAAAAAAAATTACATAATAATGACTACACGACAACAACAACAACAATGAGACATATTTTACGAGCCGTAGACATAATATTATACTCGTGCACACGGCAGAGGACAGGATAAACATTATGCGAGGGGGGGTATAGGGGCCATAGGCAAATGCCCCAGGGCGCAATAAATTCAGAGCGTTAAAATGAGGGCGATAGAATTTTTCAGCTGTTGTATCAAAAAAAAATATTCACCATAAAAAGTCGTACCAACAATGATAGTATTATTATGTAATGCAAAAATATCTATTCCGAGTCGAATTAAAAACGATATTAGAAAACGTAGGGGTGCCAAAACCATTATGGCCGGGTTGAGCTAAAAATTGATTAAATTAATGTTTCACTAAAATTTGACGGACCAATCATGGGCCGTTAATCCATTTTTAAGGGACCATTTAGCTCACTAACTATTCATTTCATTGAATGTTTATTCTCTGTCCAGCGAGAGAACACACTCGGCGGCCCAACGAAAATCGGTTCTTCTGCGCATCCCCAAGCGACATACTTCCATAGTGGGAACCGGTCTCGGTGGGTGTCATGTGGGGATGCGCAAAATCAGCGAGTTCTCTCGCTGGACAGAGTATGGTGATCATTCATTGAACCCGACATTTTAATCTCTTGAAGTGTGTACGTCATGTGACATTGTGACGTGTACACCGTGCATTGTGACGTGTAAATTACACGTCCTACTGGGTGGGTATTTAGGTATCTGCAGGTGCCTATAGTAGAACATGGCAGGGTACCTATACAGCCATAGTCACCTGAGAGGGGCAGCTGGGCAAGCTGTGGCATCTGCACTCCTGAATTTTTAGAATTTTTAGTTTAATTTGAGTATACTTTGATAAATAACTATGATAAATATCATATTGAAGGTGGAACTACGATAAAAAAAAAATGATTATTATAAAAAATCCTGTTCAGCGAAAAGTTAACGAAATATATTATGTATTAATATATTGTGCTAACAAACTTGCCACCCCCCTTCTCCCGCTCGACAAATGACTGCTGGGCCTATGCCTATACGCTTAATACATTTTATTGCTATAAACTCACCCGCTGTCGTGTTGACGGCGTAAGTGAGGTCGTGGAATTCGATGTCGACGGCCGGTCGCTTCGCCTTGTGCGTCAACGTCTTCATGTCGACCCGGGTCGGGATCCTGGTGATCGGCCTGTCGGCGGACACGCTGAACACCCTCGTCCTGGACGCTTCGACCAGCGGCATCTCTTCCTCGTCGGGCAGCACTTCGTCGGTGCTGCAGGTGGACGAGCGGTTGTCGTCGTCGTCGTCCTCGTTGTCGCTGCGGTTACCGTGGTTTCCCCGGTCACCGCGGTGGTTGATCGTCGTCGCCGCGAACGAGACGGTGCTCTGCGTCCGACCCATCGGGGGCCGCGGTTGTTCGTCGCCGGTGGTCATGGTCGCGACGATGGGTGCAACTCCGGGTAAGCACTCTTTGAGTGCCAAATAATAAATAAAAAAAATATAATAATGTAGCAACCGAAATAATATTAGCTAACACGGGGCGGGCCTAGCTGACGGACTATACGGTGTTTGCGAATTTTGCGGTCGCACTAAGGATAACGTTGTGCGGTCGATCTCCGCCGAATGAGCAGTGACCGGTTTCCGTATGTCTATGGTCGCGCGCACACAGCATCAGTGGCGCGTCTGCCGAGAGTGTAATAATATATTATTGCGATGTCGCGTGGTCCAACGGAATGAACTAGTTAGTCGTCGGCCGGCGGTGAGTACAATTGTTGCTATATCCGCCGCCGCCGCCGCCCCACCGTACTGATATTACGATACACGTGCAATGTGTTGTATCGCACTGTATAGTATAGTGTTGTAGTACCTACAGTTGTCGTTGTGGTCGTCGTCGTTGTTGTTGTTGTAGTTTGATTTTGTTTTGTATTTTTCCACGGAAACCTGTTATTAAATCGTAGACGCTCGCGTAAAACAAAAAGAATATTATTTTATATATTATAAGTATATATATATATATATAGTATTATACAGGGTGATCCCAGTTTTTATCCTTCAACCGTACGCCGCACCTATTAAAATCAACAATTTACAATAAAAATTCGAGGTTCTCACTCGAAAAACAGGAGTTCACACCACAGGACACTTAAATGGACACATCTCAGTGGTCGAAGATAACTTTACGGTCTTTAAGTATACACCTGGACTTCCCGAGGACACAACATATGGGGGGGGGGGGGTTATGAAGAGTATATAATTGCCGACTTACTAGGTATTGTTTTCTCACCAACTTGGTAGAATTGTATATATAATATCATCTTGGAAACGGGTTTGAATTCGTAATTAATTGTACATTGTTGACTACGACTTTAACACTAAAACTAATATTTTTATAAACATACCTATATAATATCTAAAAAAATTTATTTATTACAATTCACAAAGAATTAAACATTTAAACAATATATTTTTGAAATACAATTAGGTACGCCTTTGGTGTATCTGATAAAATAAATGTATATAAATCAACATAATACTGCAGAATATATTAGTAATTTGTCGTAAATATATAGAACAGGTGTTTGTAGTCTGAGTATTATTTTTCCATATATATTTTAATAGCCATATGTGAATATGTAAGCTGTAAGGTTCTGACATTTGGTACATAGGTAATCCTAATATACCGAAGAAGTCCACATCGAAGTCAATTTTTAAAATTGTACATTGTAAGGAGGGGTTCATACAGGAATTTGTTGTTTTACGAAAAACGTATATTTTTTTGATTGTATAGGGTTATTAGCAAATAAAATAGTTAATATAATATTATATTTGGTCAAAACCACCAAAATTAATGTTTTAAAAATATATGTGTAGTTTACATTTAACGAAGTTTTAAGTCAGGGTAAATCCACTGGAATTGTTTAATTTGTCACTCAGTATCAAACTATAGTATAAAATAAATATTAATATTAGTAATAATAATATTGCTTATTAATGCTGGAATGCTTGATGGAAGTAAATAGTTCTTATTTTTACACTGTTCAACAAAATGTCTATCTTGTAAGTAATTATTGTCATAATATAAATGTTGTCTTGGATTCCAAAATTTAAAAAAAGGATTAAGAGTTACCCACTTACATTTCCCAAAAATCAGAATTTGAATGAAATAATAATATACACATTTAACCGCGGATAAAATGAGGATGAGCATTGTTTGTGAATCACTCTGTATATTATTATGTATAACGCACATCTGCGGAATATGCTTGTTCGCACGTACTGTGTTCACAGCTTATCGGAACACCGGAAAAACTTTTGAAAATAAAAACGACGGACAAGGAACCTTCGTTGCATCGGCGCGAACAAACTACGTCGTCGCAGACGAAATGGAAACGTAATTATTATTATTGTTATTTACCTACCTAAATCTTTTTACCTATTATTTTTTCACGTTGTCACCGAGTGTGGGCTTCGATTGCTGCAACAGTTGTAAAGTCGCAAGCGATTATTGTAAAAATATTATATTACTATTGAGAATCCGCCCACACCAGTAACAGCTGCAGTCGATAATATAACAAGACGTATAATAATTGCCTTCCTACCTATATAATATAATATAATATCCGCAATGATAATATTATTGACAGTTGAGGCTATATAGTCGTACTCTCGCATACTGTATACAAGTTATGCGTGCGTTTTATTGCTAGCCCAAGCAGCATTCATTCATTTAGTGCATTTATCTATATAGACAATATTGAAACGTCGGTTGTATAGTTATTCAATTATACCTGCACAGTGTACGTATTCTATTATACAGATATTATATTATTGTGTACGTAGATACAATAATATTGTATCTCTAACTATAAAATAATCTTATAGTCACTCGAGTGTTCTGCCATATAGGTACCTAGCGAATTGTGAGACGAATATATACACTTTCCAAATGGCCCGGGTGTTTATTATTTGAACCTATAACAATATTATTATGTTCATTATGAAACGCGTATGACATTACACACCATAATAATATGACACTATGTGTTACTGTTTTCGATCGCATAGTAGCTAAGGTGTATCGATAATGTTTTCGTATTTTAAAAGGAAAGTGTTTGACGGTTATATTATATTCTCATAGACAATTTATGATTCACAATAAGCTGCGGCAGTAACTGCAGGTATCGGTAAACTGTTGATTGTGTGTATAATAACTAGGTAGGTATAAACTCTCGTAAGTCCTGGTACTAATGAAAATAAAAAACAATTCAAATTTATAAACATATGAACGTAAAACAGTCAATATTGCATGTGGAATGTATACAAAACTATAATATTTATTAGCATGACTTGTATATGCTCAATACGTACGGAACCTAGTATCGCTATTAAATTAAATATTCATAGACATTTTAAATGATATTGCAAGACAATTTTAGATTTTAAAAAATATTAGAAATATAAAGGAAATTACATCCATCGCTCCGCTTAGAATCTAAAATGGTTAGGACTGAAATGTTGATGTGTAAACATTGAGACCTACATTTTGTCTTATAGTTACACAAATTTCTTTCATTAAAACTTTGAACACTCAAATACGTATAACTAAATTAAAAGTTTAATTTTTATGTATGCAATTATCAGGAAAAATATTATTCTTAAAATTAAAGGCTTAAAAGGTATAGAATAGTAGGTATACTGTAATTAATGATAAATGCATTTTTTTTTTTAATTAGAAATAAGCAATCTATACAGTTTATGCATGATAAGTTTATGTGGTAAGAATAATACATATACATGAAAAGTTAAATAAGAAGCCACCCATTGATGACACTCAGCTTGATTAACTATATATTTTATTTAAAAACTAATTATTTTTCTTTTATTTATTTATATAGGTAATAACTGATATTGTTTAGGTTGTAAATGTATTTATCCTTTTGGTTTATTTAAGTTGGTAATTGCAGAAGGTCGCTACACCACTTCCTTCTTCGCAATAGGTGAGTTGATTCCCGAGACCTTTCTCATGTGTTGGTTGATTCCCGGGTCATTAAGAGGTACGTACGAGTTGATTCCCAGGTCATTATATATTTTATTCAATATTTTGTAAAATATTCAGCCTATTAGCATAGCCCAAGAAACACCACGAGGAGGTTGGCCGACAAGTTTCTCAAAAATGTTGTTTTTTTTTAGTTTTTTAATATTTTGAAAATCATTCAATTTTTATTTATTGAATTATATTATATTTATTAGTAACTATAGGTAAAAAAATTTAATATTTTGGTAAAAATTTGTAACACATTATTTTTATAAATTGGTATCTAGTAATGAGATTACCAGTATACCATGACATCTCCTTTTAAAAAAATTTGTTTTTCTTGTTGTTTTTTAGATTTCTTAGTTCCATTACTCCTGCATTTGATATACGTTTCTAATTGTACTTCTAACAGCTCATTTATAAATACAAAAATATTTGGGTGCCCACTATAGAAACAACTGTTGAGTTTAGAACGAAAGCTAAAAGCTAAACTCTTTACTCGTGCAATCTATTGATAATTAATATACAACAATAGGGAATCAACTCTAATGGCCCTCTAATGTACCCTCTAATGGCCCGGGAATCAACTCAACGGTGTCGGTGCAGGTAAATAGGTACCCGGGAATCAACTCGTACGCAGCCTCCTTTTTAGCCTGCACCTGTAGGATTTCCCGGTAATGTTCTGTGTTAGAGTAGAAAGGTTTTTTATAAAAGGATTCTGATGGAATAGAAGTCGCTTGTGAAAGTGTGAGTAAAAGAATATTATGCTTCTTCGTTAATAGTTTTCATATAAAAATCGTTATGCAAGGTTAAGTTTGAGACATAAGGTGGAACATTGGAGAGTCGTCGGGGAATTACATTTTTGGAACGCTTGGATTTTGTTTGTGTTGGATTTTTTTGCTGAGCTCCAAAGCTATACACCTGCATAAGTCCATATAGGTTTGAGAACAATTTTTTTTTGTAAATTAGCACTTTGACTTTTAGATTTGTATTATTATTTTTAGATGTACGAGGACTGAGTATACGCATATACGGGCGTTGAGAGCCAGATTTTGATTCGTATAGGTTGTTCCGTATTAGTCGTTTATCGAGATTGAGTCCTATTTGACAGTATCAAACGTGGTAATTGGGATGTTGTTTAATGTAACTGTTGAGAGTAAATGTAGTGTGAATTGATTTATTTATATACTCCACTTGTCGTACCATTCGGACATTAGGTTAAGGTGCAGTTGTAGGTTTGATGAGGTTGTAAATTAAATTTTAATTAAGCAACGTAAAGATTATAATGATTATAATTGTATAGTAGGTAAGCATACATTTTTTTTACAAACATTTTGTTTTGCAATGACCAAATTATGTGAAAACATTTTTAAATACTTATTTTAAGTACCTATACTTC